CCTCTATACTTTCATTACTTTCTTCTCTTGTATTAAACAGATGTTTTCCAGTATATCTTACTTTTTTGTCATTTACATTACCATATTATTTTTTAGTATTTCCTTAACAAATGCCAAGGGAATTATAATTTGCATATTACAATCAAGTCTGGATTTAAAATTACTTAATTCCAACAGTATATAAAAATGTTTCTCTTATATAGCTCCATTCTCTTCCTCTTCCTTTATGCTGTTACTGTCATACAAATTACACCCTTAAAATGTCATGCCTATCAACGGAGATTTATAATTATTGCTTTGTATGGTTGTCTTTTAAATCAGATTGGAGATAAAAGGTTACAAAATGTAAAAAAATATATTCATACTATATTTTATACTAGCTGCCTTTAATGGCGCTCTTTATTATTTCATGTGCTTTCAAGTTACTATCTAGTTTCCTTTCATTTCAGCCAGAAGAACTCACTGAAGTATTTCTTGTGGGGCAGATCTGATAGTAATACTAGCTCAGGATTTGTTTATCCACAAATGTCTTAATTTCACCATCACTCTGGAGAGCAGTTTTGCTAAATACAGAATTATTTATTTTAATTTAAATTCAATTAATTAACATATAGTATTAGTTTCAGAGGCAGAGTTCAGTGATTCATCAGTCTTATATAATACCCAGTTCTCATTACATCATGTGCCTTCCTTAATGTTCATCACCCAGTTACCCAACCAGCCCACCACCTCCCCTCTAGCCACCTGTCTGTTTCCTATGATCTCTTCTGGTTTGTCTCCCTCTCTGATTTTGTCTTGTTTTATTTTTCCCTCCCTTCCCCTATGATCCTCTGTTTTGTTTCTTAAATTCCACATATAAGTGAGATCAAATGATAATTGTCTTTCTCTGATTGACTTATTTCGCTTAGCATAATACCCTCTAGTTCATCCACATTGTTGCAAATGGCAAGATTTCTATTTTTTGATGGTTGAGTAGTATTCCATTGCATATATATACCACATCTTTATCCATTCATCTGTCAATGGACATCTGGGCTCTCTCCATAATTTGGTTATTGTGGACATTGCTGCTATAAACATTGGTTTATATCTGAAGGTGCCCCTTCAGATCACTACATTTGTATCTTTGGGGTAAATACCTCGTAGTGCAATTGCTGGGTCGTAGGATAACTCTATTTTCAACTTTTTGAGAAACCTCCACATTGTTTTCCAGAATGGGTTAACCAGCTTGCATTCCCACCAACAGTGTAAGAGGGTTCCCCTTTCTCCATGTCCTTGCCAACATCTGTCATTTCCTGACTTGTTCATTTCAGCCATTCTGACTGGTGTGAGGTGGTATCTCATTGATGTTTTGATTTGTGAATACAGAATTCTTGATTGACTTTCTTTTTTCTTTCAGCACTTTGAATATGTCAAGTAGTGCCCTTTAGCCTCAATGATTCCTGATGATGAATCAACTGTCAATCTTGCTGAGGACACTTTGTACATGAATTACTTCTCTCCTGATACTTTCAATATTTTCTATATCAGGACAATTTAATTATGATGTATCTAAGTTTGGATCACTTGTACGTTGTTGAACTTCTTGGGTATATAGTCTTCTCATCAAATTTGAAGAGTTTTTGGCCATTATTTCTTGAAATATTCTTATTACCCCTTTCTCTTCCTAAACTGCCAGCAATTGGGGTACTTTATTGTGTCCCACAGGTCTAAATGCTCTGTTCATTCTTATTCATTCTTTTTTCTTTCTGTTCCTTAGAATGGATAATCTCAACTGATCTGTAGTCAAGTTCACTGATTCTGGCCTCTGCCTGTTCAAATCTGTTGCTGAACTCTTCTAGTGAATTTCTCATACATATATAAATTAATATTCTGTATTTGGTGAGACATTGTTCTCATACTTTCCTTTAGTTCTTCAGATATGGCTGTCCTTGGACATATTTAAAATAGCTTAAGGACTTTAATAAATTCAAGGTCTGGCTCTCCTCAGCAATACTTTCTATTGATTCCTTTTTTCACATATACAGGTCATATTTTTTTTTTTGCATGTTTCATAATTTTGTGTAGAACACCAGATATTTTAAAAAATTTAACATGGCAACTCTCGAAATCAGATTCTCCCTTCTTCCCAGGATTTGCTGTTTCACATAATTGTTGCTACTGTTTAGGACTTTCCTGAACTAATTCTGTAAAGTCTGTTTGCTGACCAGACAAATCATTGCTATTTCTCGTTCTACATCCCAGCCAGGCCAATATGTAGCTTCACTCACACTGCCTACTTATATAATTCCACTAAGAACACTGCATGGTTTCCTGATCACCATAATACGCAATTATAACAAATTTATTCTTAAATAGTTAAATTCAATTTTTATTTAAAAGCCTTAAATGGCATTGTGTCCCTCAATCTTGAAGTCTATAAAAAAACAGTCAAATAGATTTTAATTTGATATTATTTGCGCTTGGATGGCTTGATGAAGAAAAAGAATGTCAGGGAAGTCTATAATAAAATCCAATTATTTTTTAGTTTACTGTCAGGGTATTTATTAGCAATTTAGCTACGAGACACTAAAATTTTTTTATAAAGATACTCTCAAAGGAAGTGAAGACATATTGTACATCTGCAGTCTACACCATCTTTCTTCCCTAAAGTATTATCTTTGAACTCTTATTCTAATTCAAAATCTGAACTTGATTACCTTCTGCCTTCCATATATCCCACTTCTACTTAAATAATCTCTAATTCCTATAGTTCATTTTCATTTTGTCTGCATACTATTTATGGTCATTTTAAAAGTTCTGAATCTACTATTTATCCATTTTCAGTTACTCTGTTAGTTTTCATTTTACAATGTTACAATGTTCTAATTTTATGGCACCCTTTTATCCTAAATTCATATAGAAAGAGCAAAAATGCTGAATACTGGCACTGATAGTAATGTACTGCCATACAATTATTTCCTGTAACAAATCTGCTCAGTGCCTCAAAATACAAATGAACTATAGTTTTTCTTTTTCTTGATAAAAAGTGAAATTTAAAAAGTTTATCCACTGAGACTTCTGGGTTGTTGGTAATATTCTACTTCTTAATCTAGGTGGTAGTTTCATGGTGTTTTCACTTTGTGATAATTAACTGAGCTATACCTTTTGGGGGGCACACTTTTCTGTATGCATGTTATATCCCAAAATAAAAGAGTATTCAAAAAGTTTATTATATGGATGCTCTGTGCTGGCCAGAAAGAAAAAATTAGATTACAAAACAAGAAGAACCTAGCAATGATCAAAGTAGAAATAATACGGTATCATTTTGTTGATCATTAATAACATTGTGTATCTTTGTACCAACTGCTAATAATAAACACACAACCAGCCTTCACAAATAATATTTTAAATGCCAAAGGAATACAAAAACAATGTGATCTTTACAGAAAGCAATATTTTCAATAGTAAGTACTAGAAAAGTTTCTTCTCAGAGTCAATTACATCTTAGCAGGGTACTTATCAATTTTTAAAATTTTCAAAATTGGTAAATCCATTGTAATAAATAATAATGTATCTTAAATTAAAGGAAAAAACTTTTCCTTAAAGCTTTTTACAGAGAGCCTCTTAGAAATAATTTTGTAAAAGGTAAAGCAGGTTTAAGATATTCCTTTTAGGGCGCCTGGGTGGCTCAGATGGTTAAGCATCTGCCTTCGGCTCAGGTCATGATCCCAGGGTCCTGGGATCGAGTCCCGCATCGGGCTCCCTGCTCCTTTGGAGCCTGCTTCTCCCTCTGCTTCTCTCTCTCTCTCCCTCTCTTTCTCCCTCTGTCTCTCATGAATAAATAAATAATCTTTTAAAAAAAAGATATTCCTTTTATTTTCCAAAAAACTGTATTTCTCCCTATCTACAAAGGCCAGTTTGTATATATTATAATATGAAAAACAGAAGCTAAGTTCAATTAGCTTTTCCCTCTCATTTTAGAAATACAATCTCCCAAATACATGTATTCATTTGAAATATGTAAAAGCTGAACTTAAAAGTTGTACTGCTAGTGCACATGCCAATGGGAGTCCTGAAAGTACAGATGTGTCCTAGCGTACTTCTACTGAAGCTTCTCTGGGCAGAACACTTTATTTTAAATGGCTACATATATATTAGTAAATCCTCACTATGCAGCAATTGTCTGTGTAGGGCCAGAGCTACAGCAAGCAACGGTGTGTTTTCCATTAGGTGACAAGTGCTTATGAAGATAAGATGCCTTCCTGCAGATTGTGAACTACAGTATTTCATGATTTAAGGGGAAGAGACACAAAAAAAGTATCCTGCTCCATTTGTTTCTAAATTTCAAAGTAAAATCCAATGAACTGAATTAAGGGTAGGAAGAAAAAATTAACATTCACAAACAGATACATGTATTATTACCTGGCTTTACCCCACAATTTTGAATTTTGAAGAAAAACTGCTAATAGTCACAAAATCAGTCAAGAGAAGAAATGACACTTGACTGATTACTGAAGTCAGGTTATCTCCACTAGACTGCTGTACCTCCATCCCAATTTTTCTATCTCCTGATTTATGCTTCCACATTAAAGTATGTTTCATCTGCATAAAAACTATTGCATAAGAAAATAAAGAAAGATATCAGTGTTTAATTCTATATAAGTAAATGGTAAAGTATCATTTTGTTTAAAAATTTTACCAATGTCTTACTGTCTATGAAATATCAGGTGCTTCCCATACATTACTCATTATTTATTAATAAAAATGTACCAACACACTGTGCTCGCTTCGGCAGCACATATACTAAAAAGAAAAAAATGTACCAACATATAAATACACACAAACACCATATATTCACTTAACTCAATCATATAAAGTACACTAGAACTAATCAGATCTGAAAATGATGTTAGGATATGGTAAGAAAACAGAAGAGAACAAAATTATGTCTCTACTCCTTAAGAGAGGTAAAAAACTAAAAGATGAAGTATGGTAGAATACTAATATCTACTGCTTACCAGTTTTTCTCTGAATGTGTCTTTTCCCAGCTTCCCTGAAAGCAACCATGGCTCTGAAAAAAGCTCTGAGAACTGCCCATCGGAAAACAGCTACGGGATCAATTCCAATCATCCCAGAGATAAATGCATTCTTGCTACTTCTCAGAAGAGCTACAATGTCAGGGCGCATGTGATCTGTATTTTTTTCCCGGAAATCCTACATGAAAAAAGTACCAGTGTTATTTTTGAAAAAATTATTGAACCAAGAAGACAATGGGTGACATGTTTGAAAAGTGGCTTAACAAGGACTATAGAAGAGATTTCTGTTCTAGGTAGCTAACTGGACCAGATACCTTTTATAAAGTCCCAGCCAACCCAAAACTATTGAATTCTGTAATACATTTAAATGACAGTGAATGTTCCACAATTTTATTGCAACTTGTTAAACAGAGAGCCTCTCTGAAGCCTCTGAAGAGCCTCTCTGGTCACATAAAATGACCAGACAGTTGAGTAACAGAAAGGAGCCAGACATGAGAAAACAAGGAACAGCGTTCCAAACAAAGAGAACACAACACTTACTACCTATAGGTGGTAGGACAAGTTAGGAAACAAGCAGTAAGACCAGGGGCTGGAACATTCCGGGCAAGGGTGAGAGTGGTGGAAGATTTGGCAAATAAATAGGCTATGCAAGCCTGAGTTAGGAGTTTGTAGATTTTATTCAAGTATAAAGGAAAGCCAATGGAAGCTAAATGATGTTTTATAAATACCATGGATGCCTCAGAGGGAATGAATTTATTGAAAGAATGGAGAAAGGGAGACTAACTATTGCAATATTCCAAATAAAAGGTGAAGGTGACCTAGATTACATTGGGGGTAACAGCATAAAGGGAAAATAATTATTATATTTGGGATACGTTTTGGAAGTAAGGCAAAGAATTTGCTGGTATATTAGAGCATGGTGAGAAAATGAGGGAATAAGGTTAACACCTATATTTTGGGTTTAAGGAACTAGGTAGAGGTACCATATTGATATGGAGAAATCCAGAGAAAAGAGAAGGTTTACGGATAGGAAATGAGATCAAGAGATCAGTTTTATGCAAGTGAAGTCTGAGATGGTGAGGATATCGATAGCAGCAAGTAACATTTATTAAAAGGTTAATATGCGTGTGACACTCTTCTAAGCATTTTACATGTGTCATCTCATTTAAGCTCATTTCATCCACCTAATAATTGCTTGAGACAGATATTATTATCATTATTCCTATTTTATACTTGAAGAAACTCAGTCACAGAGAGATTAACTATCTTGGCCCCTATCACACAGTAAGTAGAACAGGGGTTCAAAGACAGCCACTCATTAGCACTATACTATATCTGCATACAGACATCAAGTAGGCAGACGAATATATGTGCCTATGAGTCCTACAGAGACTTCAGAAAATGTATGTATTACCTAAGGACTATAAATAGGCAGTACAAACCACCTGCCAATGGGGGATGGAGGGGATATAACAGAAGAAATGGGTTAAAATATCCCACAGAAAGAGGAGGAGAACAAAAAGTTTACACTTGTGTAAGAAGGTTCCAGACTGATATGTATAGTCTAGGCATTAGGCTGTAACCACACCCAGGTAAAAGGATTAAAGCTTGGTAAGTAAATCACTCAGAGTTGGTGCAACTTCACAGAACAGCTCTAACTCAGAATTCTATGAGGAGCATGCCTAGTATGATGTTTTCCAGAAGGCAGTTTGTAGTCCTTTAGGGGTTTCCTTTCCTACTCTTTGTTCTCCTAAGAACAGGGGAAAAGGAGAAACAAGCCAGAAATCTTGGTCCTTGCTTGTCCCTAAACACCCTTTTGGCAAAAGTATGTATTATAAAAGTTAGTAAAACTGATTAAAAATTTTCAAATCCAAATCACCACCACCACCATCAGCAGCTAATACCTACCAAGGGCAAACAAGATGTCAGGCACGAAGTTAAGCACTATACATAACTTATTCAATTCTAACAATTACTTAATAAAGCAGAATCATTACAAACCATACTTTACTGATAAGTAAACAGAAAGATAAAGAAGCTTGACAAAGGTCAAACATAATAAGTACTACAGGAACTGAAACATATGTCTGTTCTATACTGAAGACCAGTCCATCTGATTAACAACTATACTGTACAAAGTAAAATTCTAAAATTCTTTCCCATGATGAGTGTCAAATGTTGATGGAAACCTTTATTTTCCAAATGTAATGTCTCATCTGTCTTCATAGTTCCATATTTCTAAGTACGTTTCATAAACTAATCCTATCATTCTTTTTGAAAATTTTCTCTTGGTTTCTATTAACAATACATTTTGTGATTTACTACTTACCCTATTGCTGGTTCCATATTTGAAATTCTTAGGGTTTGCTCTTACGTCCTCCTACAATTTGCACTCAATCATCTGACATCAGGGGATCGCAACCATAGTAATGGCTTTAAACACTATCTATATGATGAAGCCCAATCTATATTTCCATCTCAGACCTTTCTTGTTATGTCTGAGATCCATTTATACATCTTAAAGGTATCTCAAACTTGAAAGAGAATGCATAAGACTAGTATTACTTAAATGTTTGGAAGCATTTGCCAGTGAAACCATACAGGCGTGGAACTGCCTCTGTGGGGAAATTTAAACTGCTGATTCAAATTATTTAACAGAAATAGGAGTCTCAGGTTTTCCTATATTTCTGGTGTCAGTTTTGATGTGTAAGTTTGTCATGGAATTCTCCATTTTATCTATGTTGTCAAATTTATTGGCAAATATGTTCAGACCCTTTTTAATATCTGTTGAGTATGTAGTTTTCTGATATCTGTATTTTTAAAATCTTTTTTTCTATTATAGATTATTTTCTATTACCTTTTATTATTTTCTGTTATCTTTCAAAGAACCAATTTTTGACTTTGTTAATTTCTCTATTACATGTCTGCTTTCTACTGCATTAATTTCTAGTCTTCCCTTTATTATTTCCCTCTAATTGCGGGGGGGGGTAATCTGCTGTTCTTTTTTCAGTTTCTTGAAATGGAACCTTAGATAATTACTTTCAACCATTTTTCCTAATATATGCATTTAAAATTATAAATTATTCTTTAAATGCATCCTACCAATTGCTACAGATTCTGCAAATTTTAATATGTTGTATTTTCATTAATGCTCAGTTTAAAATTAGCATTGTAGGGGCACCTACGTGACTTAGTCAGTTAAGCGTCTGCCTTCGGCTCAGGTCATGATCCCAGCGTCCTGGGATCAAGCCCCTCGTTGGGCTCCCTGCCCAGTGGGGAGTCTGCTTCTCCCTCTCCTCCCCGCTGGTGCTCACTCTCACTATCTCTGTCTCTCTCTCTCTCTCTCAAATAAATAAATAAAATCTTTAAATATAAAAAAATAAGTAGTAAAATTAGCATTGTAATTGTGATTTCTTCTTTGGCTCATGGGTTTCATAGAAGAATTGTGTTTAAACACTCAAAGACTGTCTAGCTATCCTTATGATATGCCAAGTTGGTCAGTTTTTAATAATCCTATTCAATTTTTTAGTTTTTACTGGTTTTGTGTCTTACTCTGTTACTAAGAGATATGTATTAAAAGCTACAACTAGATGGATTTTTCTAGTTCACTTTTGTCCTCCCTTTGGGCTTTATATATTGAATCAAACATTAAGTACATACAACTTTTGAGGATTGTGTTTTCCTATCAAACTGGCCCCTTTTATTGGTATGAAATGTGCCTCTTTATCTTTAGTAATACTTCTTGCCTTAAAGTCTACCTTGTCTGATAATAATTTCTTTTAGTTAGGGTTTGGGTGGTATACATTTTTCCACCCTTCTACTTTCTATACATATTTTTTCTATATATATTTTTTCCATTAATTTACTTTCAACCTATCTAAGGATGATTAATCACAGGCACGAGTGTATATATTGTATGATTCCATTCACCTGAAATATTGTAATAACAAGTAAATCTAAGGACAAAAAATGAGAATAGTGGTTATTTCTAAATGGGGGAGAATGAGTAGGGAAGGGGCATGACAGAAATTTGTACACTTTAGATTTATGCACCTCATTGTATGGTTTTATAGCTCGTTTTCTTGTTTTTGTTTTAAACTGCATTTTAAAATCTTTTTTTTAAATTGAGATATAACATATAATGTATAAGGTATACAATGTGTTGATTTGATACATTTATATACAGCAATATGACTACTACTATAGCATTAGCTAATACCTCCATCAGGTCATAGAATTATCATTTCTTTTCTGTGGTAAGAACATCTAAAAGCTGGTCTCTTAAGAACTTTGAAGACAATGTTATTATCACAATGTTAATTATAATCTCAATGCTGTGCATTAGATCTCCAGAACTTATTCATCTTCTAACTGCAAGTTTGTATCTTTTGCCCAGTATCTCAATTGCCCCAGCCCCCAGCCATGAGTACCATGAGTACCATGATTCCACTCTATTATTCTTAATGTTTGTTCTAAAATCTGTTCCTTTCTGTCTTTTCCATCTTGAAATAACACCTCAAATTCACCCATCAGCTATAGCCAGAAGTCACTTACTTAGCTAGGATCCATCAATCAGGTTCTACCACTTATACCTCCAAAATATATCTCATAATCATCTACATATCCTCCAACTCTACTGCCACCCCTGTGGTTCAGTTTACCTTAACATTTCACCTCAACTATTAAAAAAAACTCCTAATTGACCTCCCAGCTTCCACTCTTCATCCTCTGCTGTTTCTTCTCCTCAAAGTAATCAAAGCAATCTTTTAAAAACACAAATCACAACCTGTTTAAAATCTTTTCATGGTTCCCCATAATAACTTCAATAAAAACCAAACTCATTTAACTTGATCTAAAAGCCGTGAAGAATTAACTCGCTATTCATTCGCTAAATTCGTTTCATTCACTATCTCCCCCTTGCTCACCATAATCTACTAACATTGACTTGTTTTCAATTATTTTAACATATTAATTCTTTCCTACCTCATGGCCTGGAATATTCATCATCCCAACTCCTCACCAAGGTGACACTTGCTTCAGGTTAACTCTCAAAATTTAAGTTCTCAGAGAGGTATTCATGGATCTCCAAATTCAAAGTCCACTATTTCACTACTTTCCTTCCTAGAACCCATTCATTTATTTATAGCAATATCCCATTTATCCATATTATACACACATGCATGCATGCTTGTATATGCTGAGCCAAGAACATGTCTGTCTGGTTTATCACTAAATCATTCCAAGCACCAAGCACAGAGTCTGACACATAGTCTGTGTTTAACAGGTACTTTGTGAATAAGTCAATCATTTACAGATGAATGAGTGATTTTAGTTGTGACTCTCACCTCAAGACCCAAGAGAAAATATATTGCTCCACTATTCTCTGCCTTGCCTGGGAAATTATCTTAAATGACAGACTCAAACACCAAGTGGTTGAAAGGTAACAGGCTCACTAATTACAAATAAGAAATGGCCACAATTATGAAGATTCCCCTCCACAGGAGTTAAAAGTTTCAATATATTCATTGGGAGTGCAAGCTCACAAACACCTAATGGTGCATAAAGATATGAAGCCTCGGCGCCTGGGTGGCTCAGTTGGTTAAGCGACTGCCTTCGGCTCAGGTCATGATCCTGGAGTCCCGGGATCAAGTCCCACATCGGGCTTCCTGCTCAGCAGGGAGTCTGCTTCTCCCTCTGACCCTCTTCCCTCTCGTGCTTTCTATCTCTCATTCTCTCTCTCTCTCTCAAATAAATAAATAAAATCTTTAAAAAAAAAGATATGAAGCCTCTGTTAAGCCTCACGGATGCAGAGAAGAGAAAAATTCAACAAACTACATAATGAAATACTAGTTTCAAGATATACTGATGCTATCTATTCTTCAGATTTAAAAAAACTATTAGAAGGGACTGATGCTGAGTTTATCTATAGGAGGAAACCAACAAAAATATCACATAAGACAGTAATATGTTGCAAGGTAGAATCTGAATGTTAGTAGTATCTTTATGTCTCCAACTGTTACTGATCAAGAGCCTCCATAAACTACAGAGAAGGCAGTGTGACAGGGATGCTAATACATACAGTAAAGAAAACACTTTTACCCTGAAGGCATATTAATGAGAAATTTACTGACCTTTACCCCATATTTTACTTTCCCAGCATAATGCTTTATGATGAAAGCAGGCTCCATCACGGCTGGAAATTCAATGTAAGAATTCTCTTCATGTTGATGCTTAAATTTATCTAGCAATGTTTGATTTGTAGCCTGTGGAAAGCTGAATTAAAAACAAAAAACAAAAACACTAAAGAAAGATGCAGCTGTCAATAAAGTCTTTTTTTTAATACATTATAATTACATTGCCATCTAACACATTTACAGCAAATTACAATGAGTTTTCACTTATATTATCTAATCTGATTCTCTTAACAAGCTAAAAAGTGAGTATAAGAAGGACTGGTGTTTTATAGATGAGGGATCAAAAGTCACGATTTGCCCAAACTCACACTTTGCAAGTTGCAGAACTAAGAAATTAACTCAGGTCGGGGCGCCTGGGTGGCTCAGTTGGTTAAGCGACTGCCTTCGGCTCGTGTCATGATCCTGGAGTTCCGGGATCGAGTCCCGCATCGGGCTCCCTGCTCAGCGGGGAGTCTGCTTCTCCCTCTCATGCTGTCTCTCATTCTCTCTCTCTCTCTCAAATAAATAAATAAAATCTTAAAAAAAAATTAACTCAGGTCTTTAGATATTTAGCTCAGGTTGCATGTGTGGCACTTCTGTAATACCTATGGGATAATAAAACTCAAATGACACATTGTTGGGGCCAAGAACTTCCAAACAGAAAATTACCTCTCAATTTGGACAGGTCTTAAGTCCACAGTCATCTTCTGTTTTCCTATTTCTTCATATTTAAAGTAGCAATTTTCTTACCTATACCAGTAACTACATAATTTTATACTATATCTATTATTATTTCAAATATGTCTCAATGGTTTATACTCATTGATGAGCATTTCATATCTACTTATTAAGAAATGATTACATGATAGCAAATACAGGAATATAAAAGTTTAGCGGGTACCTGGATGGCTCAGTTGGTTAAGCGGCTACCTTCCGCTCAGGTCATGATCCCAGGGTCCTGGGATCAAGCCCCTCATCAGGCTCCCTGCTCAGCGGGAAGCCTGCTTCTCCCTCTCCTCCCCACTCATGCTCTGTCACTATCTCTGTCTGTCTCTCTCTCAAATAAATAAAATCTTTAAAAATTGATTAATTAATTTCCAACTCTTGGTTTCAGCTTGGGTCATGATCTCGGAGTCCTAGGATTGAGCCCCACATGTCAGCTCTGCACTCAGCACAGTCTGCTTGTCCTTCTCCCTCTTCTCCTCTCTCACTCTCCCTCAATCTCTCTCAAATAACAAATAAATTATTTTTTTAAAAAAAGTTTAGAAAAGAAAAAATCACTAGTGGTTGGGAATAATGGGAAGATTCAAAGAAGATATAGGAGGCGATTATGAGCTAAATGTTAAAGGTTGGGTAGGAGTTTCACATAGAGGAAATATCATTGACAGAAAAAGGAGAAAGCAAGTATCTTTCAGAAAAGTTTCATTTAATCATAGTTGAAGTAATGAGAAATAACGTGACATGAGGTTGTAAAGATGCTGAATACAAAATCTAATGTGTAGAAATGACTCCAAAATTACAAGTGAAATAGTTAATTATGTTATATGTGTTAGAATCAGGAAGGAGAATGGCCTTTGGTGTCAGATAGTCATAGTTTAGATTACCAGTTCTGTATGTGACCTACGGCAAGCTTTAAGAACTAGTTTCCATAAATGAGTACAATGAGGTATCGCAATGTTAACAGAATTAAATAACACTGGTAAAAACATCTAACACTAGCTGGCATCCTATAGGGAAGACATAAAAGTTACCTACTTTCTAACGTTGCCAACACTGCCATTTTCCTATTCATCTAAGCCTGCTTTTGCATTCAAATACTATCCCTTCCTCCAAACACCTTCACCATCCAGCTCTCCCTGTCCATTCCAGAACTCTAAAGCCATTCTAGAATGGACTATAACTCTTGCAATTTGAAACAGAGAGTACAGTGACAGCCTCTACAGTAGTCTCAGTACTCTAATCTTACCTTGTTTCAAGTCACCAAATCAAAATATCAATATTTTCCTATAATACTCCTTTAATCATGTGCCTCCCCTACTCAGTAAAATTTATGGATCACCAAGGCAAAGAGACCAAATCCAAGCTCATAAGCCTAGACCCAAACTCAACTTCTGCAAACTTATGCCTCACTACTTCACAGCAGGATGCTTTTCTTCAGGAAGGATACCTATCTCATTGTCTCTAAGTAATCTTCCAAGTAATCAAAAAGCTTGTGATTTATTTTTCTTACTTTCAAGTGGAGAAAATAAATTTTCAAAGGAAGACATATATGAGAACAGTTTTTATTCCAAACGAGGAAAGATGGAAAGAAAAGCTCTCCATATGTCCTATATTCAACAAACACTTATGGATACACACTGCAATATCAAGTAAAAGAGTTTGGAACAGAGGCAAATCAGACATTATTGTGCATTTCAAAGCTCTTCCATCTAGTGTTCCGCAAAGGCTATCAGCCAGGAAGCTTTAGATTAGTGTTTCCATGCTTCTTTCTGTGTTTCTTTAGCTTTCAAAAATACCAATACCTCGACCCCATTCCTGTTGATTTTACTGAAGTGATGCTAGGGTCATGATGACCAGTACTATTTCCAAGTTCCCCAGGTAATTCTTATGAGCAGGCAAGACTGACAAAATGCTATCCTAAATGAATGCTCTGATCTTAATTTCATTTGTTAAAAGAAGATTGGGGTGGAAGTCAAAGATTCTGCATTTCTAACAAGCGTCAAGGGGCTGCCAGTCCTGCTGTCAACAGATCACACTTTGAATACCGAAGGAAAGAGTAGTAACACTCCTAACATCCTGCTCACACCTAACTTTGCTTATTCTACTCCTTCTTTCTAAATTTCATGCTGCATCCTTTACAGTCAAGCTTATAAATAACTTGCCCGAGGTCAAACAGCCAAGAGATAACAGAGAAAAGATTAAACAAGATTCTGACCCATGCACCTGAAGCACTATAAACAACACTGAATGAGGTGGGAACACCGCTAAGGATATATTTCATGTCACATATTCCCTATAGAACAAAACCATTTTTAGAGGAAAACTACTCAAAGGAGTTCCCCAAACAGCCTTCCTAAATGTGACTAACTTACTTTCAATCCAACTCTGGCAGAGAGAAAACATTTCATGCCTTTGCATCTTCTGGGATGTTAAAGCATAGAGCAAAGTGGTCCGTTTACAAGAGGAGGTAGAAACAACAGGACTGACACATAAAGTGAAGAAAATAATAATAGAATCTATAAAAAGTTTTTATGGAGGACTGAATATAGAAGCATAATTGAAGGGACAATTAAGAAGTTATTCAGTCCAGGGGTACCTGGGTGTCTCAGTCAGTTAAGCATCTGCCTTCAGCTCAGGTCATGATCCCGGGGTCCTGGGATTGAGCCCCAAGTAGGGCTCCCTGCTCAGCAGGGAGTCTGCTTCTCCCTCTCCCTCTGCCCTTCCCCACCACTCATGCTTGCTCTCTCTCTCTCAAATAAATAAATAAAATCTTAAAAAAAAAAAAGAGGTTATTCACTCTAGTCTCTTACCATTAACAATACCCTGACAGATGATGCAAAAGAATTACCATAATGGGAAATTTTATTACTTTATAAAGCAGCTGCTAATCAGCTCTAATGATTAGAAAGTTCTTTTGTACACTGAGCCAAAATCTGTCTCTGTGTAATTTCCGGCCACATGGCTTACCCCCAGGATCTTCTGGGTAATGGCAGAGTTAATATTCTCTTATTGGGCAATATTTATATCTATGTGAGGTAGCAAGTGACCAGGGAAATATAGTCTTTGTATAATAAGATGTGAACTCAAAATATTTTACGTAAGGAATGACAGGCCAAACAAAAACCCCTTCCTCTATTCATGTTTTAATTACATACTCAGCTATCTCAATTTGCTGCTCACAACCACCTTAAGATATATAGCAGACAGCATTATCATTTCTCATCATTTCCTTTTTACATGCAAAAAACTAAGAACCAAGAATATTCAGAGATTTGCCAAAGGTAGGTAAGAGAGATGGAATGCAACCCTGAACTTCTGACTCTATAGCCTATTATGGAGAAACATTATAGGACAATAGTTCAATGCACAAGCTAATTAGTCAGAAATGCCTGGAGTGTCTGAATCTCAAGTCCATCACTTACTATCTATATGATCTTCTCCCAGACTTGCTTAAACTGTGTTCTTTTTGTTATCATAAAATACCTCAAACAAATAAAACTGCTTAATATTTTGACATCAACCATAATAGTTCTCAACACTGAGTATCAAATCACCTATGAAGCTTTCCAAAATAAAATACACCAGAAGTAAGGTATGTGAGCAGTTAAGAACCACTCACCTTACAATTTTATAAAAGATAATATATGTTGTAGGGCATATAGAGCAATGCAAAAAAAAACTTTTACACAACTTTGTACATAAAATATTTTTGTGTTAATTGCATTTTAATTCATTTAGATTAATGGAAATAGTCTATATGTTTATGGCATATTAATAGGGTGACATACAATCCCTACCATACAAACCAGGATATTTGGGAGTAAAAGTAGGCACCTTTAATAACTAAACTGGACAACAGGCATAAACTTTAGATTGTCCCATTCAAACCTGATGATGTATGGTCATCCCACCTATGATAGTTAATCCCCAATATTTTATATCTTACTTCAGTGGGTATAATGGTTATAGCTAGAAATCAAGTGACCTAATTTAGTTACTTAATATTTTAGTTAAGAGTGACAGAAAACTCACATACTCTCCATCACTTCAGTTTCTCCAGTTCTAGATTTGCCATCTTATAGGATAACTATAAATAATACTTTAGAGAGTACTAAAAACACTCTAGAGGATGCTATATGAAGTTCTATTTCTGAAGCTTATATGTATGTTTGGTATACCACACAGTGCTAACAAAGGATGTCAAATACTTGGCATGTGTTGCTACTTTCCACCTGCACAGCTGTGGCAGACATCACTAATCTATCATGATACTCTTTTCTACTGAACATGAAAACTACAAACACATCTCATATAAAACTCAATTCAAGAAGAGAGGAATATGCAACAAAAAAAATATGCCAACAAATTTAACATCAAAGTAACTCTGTAGAAGAATCTGGAAAAACTCAAGGAAAAAATGCATTGAATATTATAGTTCACCCAATTTTCCTAGAAACATACACACACAATAAAATGCACACAAGAGAAACTTTGGCTCCTTATTGATTATGTAAGAAGAAAATTTAAGACTTAAAAAGACATGAAAAGCCCAAATGAAAAGAATCATACTTTTGATTGAAAAGTACTTGCTGAAAGAATCATACTCACTTGCTTTCTTCATCCAAAAGGTGGAGCAGACCTGTTGGTTTCTTGCTAATAAGATTTATGCAACAGGTATTATCAATATAATCTATATTGTGCCAGCTGATACCTTCAGTTCTATACTCCTCCTAGGAAATAAATTCACAATTTATTCATCTTGCAGAAAATAATAGGTATATGATAATAAAAACTGAAAAGCTTTTGCCAGGCTTAAAAGAACTAAACTTTTCCCTTTTAAATCACTAAACCTACACAATGGAAGAATGTATAATTTTGGTTATATAAAACCTTCATACAGTATATGTCTATTTTCATTAAAAAGTACATACAATCAAATTTTTTTGTTACAATGCTATCTGTATGCCACTCAGGTGAAAATTTAGGGCTGGATTTGTTTTAGCCGCACTATGTTAGGACTGCACTAAAGAAAAATATAAAATATAAGAAGCCTAATTTCTCCTAAACCATCAGAAAGGACTGAGTATTTGTTGGATTATCAATATGAACTTAATGAAACAATGTCTGGGAAAAGTAAAAACCATCACCTCCAGTGATCACTGATATCATATGGAATTCATACGTACTTCATTCGGTAAAATAAAACCCTTAGGGGTTAAAAAAAAAAAAAACACCCTTAGAATATGTTAAAAAAAAAAGTTTCAAATCCAAGATTTTAAAAAGTCAAAGCTCAGGCACTGAACAACTATTCAACTATTAGGCCCCTATTGTTGTTTATTTTTTCTCTGTACTGGGAAATAATCTTATATTCATCCTTCTGATGCTTTTAAACTGTTTTTCAAAACAAGGCCCCTGACAATCTAAAGAAGGTTAAGTTTCTACACTGCAAGAATATTTAGGCACCAAGTAAATACCCCAGTCGGCTGATGACTTTAGTATGCACTGATAACGTTCACACACTTCTCTCCAAATATAGTGGTTTTGCAAATTAGGGATTTTTTTATTTTTATCATTCTTTGGGTATTATTATTATTATTATTAACCTGTAAATAAGACTGGTATACTATAAACTGTAGTTACTCTACTTGGGAAAAGTAAATGTCTGTGCTCACTTCAGCAGCACATATATTAAAGCTGGAAGATTAGCAGGGCACCTGTGCAGGGATGACACGCAAATTTGGGAAAGGTAAATGCTTAGTTCTTTCCTTTTAATTAATAATTTCACAAGAAAGTAATTGCTATATAAAGGTCACCCTGCAGAGCAGTAAGCAAGTTTTTTTGTCCTGTTTCTTTTTTGTAGCATGGTTAACAAGCATATGGATTCTTACAGACGTTAACATAGCAGTCCAAAATCCTCCCCTCATCTCCTCTTCCCAATGACAATTCACACCCCCTTGCCAAAGTTAACTATTATCCTAACTTCTATTAACACTGATAAGGGTCGCCTGGGTGACTCAGTCATTAAGCGTCCGCCTTCAGCTCAGGTCATGGTCCCAGGGTCCTGGGACTGAGCCCCACACTGGGCTCCCTGCTCAACGGAGAGCCTGCTTTTCCCTCTCCCTCTGCCTGCCTGTGTTCCCACTCTCGCTGTCTTTATCTCTGTCAAATAAATAAATAAAATCTTAAAAAAAAAAAACACTGATAAGACTCATCTGTTTATAAATCTAATATAAACAGAGCCATACAATATATATTCTTTTCACTTTGCTTTTTTTTTTACTCAACATTAGTTTCAGAAACACATCCAGGTTTGTAGGATGAATCTAAAGTTCATTTTTTTTTTGCATTTTTTATTTTATTATGTTATGTTAATCACCATACATCATTAGTTTTTGATGTAGTGTTCCATGATTCATAGTTTGCATATAACACCCAGTGCTCCATTCAATACGTGCCCTCTTTAATACCCATCACCAGGCTAACCCATCCCCCACCCCCCTCCCCTCTAGAACCCTCAGTTTGTTTCTCTGAGTCCACAGTCTCTCATGGTTCATCTCCCCCTCCAATTTCCCCCCCTTCATTTTTCCCTTCCTACTATCTTTTTTTTAACATATAATGTATTATTTGTTTCAGAGGTACAGGTCTGTGATTCAACAGTCTTGCACAATTCACAGCACTCACCATAGCACATACCCTCCCCAATGTCTATCACCCAGCCACCCCAGCCTCCCACCCCCCACCACTCCAGCAACCCTCAGTTTGTTTCCTAAGATTAAGAATTCCTCATATCAGTGAGGTCATATGATACATGTCTTTCTCGGATTAACTTATTTCGCTCAGCATAATACCCTAAAGTTCATCTATTTTTTTAATCCTTTATTTAAATTCAATTTAGTTAGCATATACTGTATTATTAGTTTCAGGGGTAGAACCTAGTGATTCATCAGTTGCATAGAACATCCAGTGCTCATTCCATCAGGTGCTCTCCTTAATATCCATCACCCAGTTACCCCATCCCCCCAACCACCTCCCCTCCAGCAACCCTCAGTTTGTTTCCTAGAATTAAGCATCTCTTATGGTTTGCCTCCCTCTCATTTTCATCTTATTTCATTTTTCCTTCCTTTCCCCTACGTTCATCTGTTTTGTTTCTTAAATTCCACATATGAGTGAAATCATATGGTATTTGTCTTTCTCTGACTTAATGATTTTGCTTAGCATCCATTTTAATTGCTGTAGGGCAGGGGTTGTGGAACATCATATTCACTCATTTATGCTTTATCTACAGCTGCTTTCTCAATGTTATAGCAGGATTGAGACCACATGGCCCCAAAATCTTAAAAGACTTATTCGGTCCTTTACAGAAAAAGTATGCCAAATCTATGAGACAGCATTAGTTCTCAAACTTTAATATTCAACAGAATCACATAAAGGACTTACTGAAACACAGACCACTGGGCCCCAGGCCCAAAATTTCTGAATAAGTAGGTACAGAGTGGGGTCCAATATTTGCATTTCTAACAAGTTCTTAGGTGATGCTACCAGTAGGGATAGGAGAACAATACTTTGAAAACCAATGCTGTGCAGTATTTATATGCAATTTATTCACCCACTGCACTACTGATAGACATTACAGTTATTTCTAATTTTTAGCAATTAAAAATGCCATTATTAACATTTGTGCACAAAAGTTTTAGTGTGCATTTATATGCATGTTGAAACTGAAAACACAGGCTTATAAACTACACATGTATAATAACCTCAGCAGATACTGCCAAGCAGCTTGCTAAAGTACGTGTACCAATTTATGCAACCATCACCCGTGTATGGGACTTTCCCATGAACAGTATCTCTAATATTTGTATTATCAGTTTTTTTCATTTTGTCATTCTCATGAATGCCTAGGGGTATCTCACTGTGGTTTTAATTTTAATTCTCTGATGACTAATAAGTGAAAAATCTTTTCCTATGTTTACCCTCCATTTGGATGTCCTCACATGTCTATGTTCATAATAAAAACTCTGAGGAAAAATCCCTGCCTTAGTCATAGGGATTCATTTGTTTCCATTAAGTTTGATATTATTTATAGATTTTTGTAAATGCCCTTTATCAGGAAGTTCCCTTCTATACCTAGTTTGCCGAGGATTTTTTTTAACATGAATGGTTATGCAATTTTATCAAATGCTTCTATTGAAATAAGCCTAAGTTTTTTCCCCATTTTGTTAATAGATGAATTAAATCGATTGATGATTAGATGTAACACACACCAGAAAAAAACTCCACTTGGTTCTCATATATTATCCTTTTACATTATCTTGCTGGATTTAGTCTGCTAATATTTGTTTAGAATTTTTTAATCTATGCTTATGAGTGAAATTCACTTTAATTTTCACTTCTAATAATATCCCTAAAAGATGCGGATATCAGTGTTATCTTAGCCTCCTAAAATGCATTGTGAATTGTCCCATCTTTTTCTATTCCACATAAAAATATATGTCAAACCGATACTAATTCTTTCAGTGTTGGCAAAATTCACCAATGGAGCCATCTTGGTTTAAAATGTTCTTTATAGAAAGGCTTTTAATTACACATTCAATATTTTTAATACTTGTAAGAATCAGATTTTGTATTCTGTGTCAGTTTTGAAAATATTTTTTTCATATCATTTCATAAGTGTACTTATGGACATAAAGCTGTTTAGTGTATACTATTATCTTTTTAATATGTGTAGGATCCACAGTGAAGTCCTCTTTATAACTGGAATTCTGATTATTTATATCACTCTCTGTCTCTCTGTCACTCATTTGGATGAATTTCTTGAGGGGTCTTATTAGTCATTTCAAAGTAGTACTTTTGACTTTGTTGATCTTCTTCTATGGCATAAAATTTTCCTCTAAATACATCTTTGGTTACATCCCACAAGTTTTTGTTTGTTTGTTTGTTTTTAAGATTTTATTTATTTGACAGAGACAGACACAGCGAGAGAGGGAACACAAGCAGGGGGAGTGCGAGAGGGAGAAGCAGGCTTCCTGCTGAGCAGGGAGCCCGATGCGGGGCTCTATCCCCAGGATCCTGGGACCATGACCTGAGCCAAAGGCAAACGCTTAACGACTGAGCTACAAGTTTTAAGACGCAGTATTTTCATTCAGTTCAGTATATTTTCTTCAACCTCTAGACTATGTAGAAGTGCATTAATTAATTTTTACCCATAAAGGTACTTTCCAGTTATCTTTTGATTGTTGGTTTCAGGCATAATTTCTTTATGGTATTTAAATATGTATGGTTTCAATCCCTGAAATTTGAGCCTTGTGTTATGGTCCAGTATACAAACAAATCTTACACATTCTGTAAATTTGCAGTTATCTATATATGTCAAATAAGTATTTGCTTTAAAAATCTGTTAGGGACGCCTAGGTGGTTCAGTCAGTTAAGTGTCTGCCTTCGGTTCAGATCACGATCCCAGGGTCCTGGGATCAAGTCCCGTATCAGGCTCCTTGCTCAGCGGGGAGCCTGCTTCTCCCTCTACCTGCTGCTCCCCGTTTGTGCTCTCTCTCTCTCTCTCTAATAAATAAAATCTTTAAAAAAAAAAAGGAAAGGAAAAATACTGAATGCTGGATCCTGTATATGAAAAATCATACAGATAATTTTAGCACTAGGATGATCTCTTCCTCCACTGGGCGGTGAATTTGCTCTTGGCTGGTGGCTAAGAACACTAGGAATTCTATACTCTTTTAACCCAACTGGAACTGAGAAAATTTTAAACTGGCTTCAGTCCCTAAGATGCCTGATCTATTTCTGGTTTATCTTTACTTCTAAGATGTAACCCTTTAAGGTCTGAAGCAGAAAACCTGTAGGAGTTACCAGCAGGTTCTTCCTTGTTCTTGAATCTGGAGAAAACCCTGTTCATCTTCTCAGATTCTCAAGCCTGGCTCTTTCAGAATCAGCACCTCTCTACCAGAATAAAGAAATGTCTTTAGCAACAAAGCAGTCCAAAAATGCTGGGCTCATCTCCCTGGGTTTCCTTCTTGCAGATATGAGCCCTGTAGAACTTCACTTATTTAGATGTACCCCAATGCCTTCAAATATATTTTGTTCATTCTTTTTAGGTGTTCTGCAAGGCAATTTCGTCAAATTTCCTAGTCTGACATCCCCAGAAGTGACAGAAACAAACACAAAAACCTCACTAGATTATAAATGCCTCAGATAAGATTCCTGCACTCCAAATTTTCTGTGTTCAATGCCTAGCACAGTGTGTGACACACAACTGTTATTCAATTTAGTGATGAGCCAATGCCTTGAAGGATAATTCTGAGCAAGTAAAGGAAGTAAGAGAGCAGTATTATAAATAACAACATTAAATATATTTTCAAATCACAAACTTCTTCTGGTCTGTCTCTTATTCCACATTATCTTTACATATACCTTAATTCAGGACTCATAATCACACACTCACACTACTTCAACTGGCTTATGGATTATGTCCTTCCCTCCAGGTATTTTACCCTCTCTTCAGTCCATCTTCCACAGTTCAAATCCTCTGCTAAATATACTTCAAATTGCTCCTCATTTTCTAAAAGAAAAATTCTAATCTCCTTTACATGACATATAAAGCCCACAACTATATGACCCGAGGATATTTCATAAACTTATCTCCCTCCCTGTCTCCATTCTTATATCATGTATTTTAGCTATGCTATTTTCAGTTCCTCAAAAGTGTCATGCTGTTTTATGCCTCACAATTTTAAGGATGTTACCTTTGTTTAAAATATCTTCTCCCCATTGACAATCTGGTAAACTCATTCTTCTATTCAAAACTATATTCCAGAATCACCCCTGGGAAATCTTAGTAGACTTTTAGGAAGTTCTAATCAACTTCATCCTTTATATCACTACTTTAACCTTCTATTCGATTTTGGCACTCATCATCCTGCAGGGCAATTATTATACCTTCTCCCATCCTGTGGGACAGGATGGGACATTTTTGGACAAAATTTACTTTAGTATTCAAAATTTTCAAGATGTTTCCTCCCAAAGCATATGTGATAACTTTTTATTTCTATCTTCTTTTTCAAAAAGTTTTATCTACTTAACTGATTTTGTATTCAGTTGAATTTAACAAATACCCATCTCAAGTACCAGAGATAGACAAATAAATAAAACAGTTAATATTTAAAGTGCCTTAAAGCTTATTCCCAGCAAATCCATTTTAAGTGAAAAAACATGATAAGGGAGAGAAAGGAAGAATAAAATAGATGAGATGGCAAAGAGGTGTAAGGTCTCTAAACCGTCTATAAATTATAGCAAAAGCATACCTGCCACATTAAATTACAGAAGAGAATACTGAAACTTGAAAGGAAAAACAAGATGTATCTTAGACTCTAAGTCTTCTAATCCATAATTCCACCACACTGCCCAAAATTATGATATTCAGGTAGCAAATAAATAAAGATCACCCACCCCCAAAAAGTTCCGAACACATTTTCCATAAACTGTAAGGTTTTTTTTTTAATACATGTTTTTAGGCAAAGTATTTCTTATGGCTCCTCAATGTCTAATCTACACTTCTAGAAAAGGTAAAAATAATTTCAGTAATAGTCAGATAATACCTTTTCTCTTCAAAAGCAATTTACTTACTCTTCTAATGATCCAGAGAGCATGACATGTCACTTAGTAAAACACAGCACACAGTCAACAAAATGCATTTCTCCACCCCTCCAGCATATATATATCCATTTGCAAGAGATAAAAAATACTAGTTTAGCATGATCTAGCTAAAAGAACACTGGAATGAGTCAAGTAGACCAATCCCAGCCCAGCTTTTTGGTTAAAACAAGAATTATGGAGGCAGAGTGTTAAGGTTTGAATATTGGCTTTAGTTACCATCTGTAAAACTAGAATAAAAATAGCACCTGCCTGATAAATAGTAAGTACCACATAAATGTGAGCTAATAGTATAACAAATAATACTGCACTACCTTTTAATAGCTCCATCAGAGAGTCTAGCTAAAAGGTTATGTGTTAAAAATTTTAAGCATCATCAAGATGGCCAAAACTAGTGCTGCTTGTGCTACTGTTAATCAGTCCTCAAAACCCCTTAAGCAAGACAGATGTGCTTAAGCTAGGACAGAGGGCAACAAGCCCCAGTGATAAGAAAGATCTTTTTTTGTTTTTGTTTTGTAGACCTGTTGTGGTCCTCCTGTTCATTTCACTTCTTCACCATTTCTCTTGAGATAAATGTGAATCCTGCCTCTGTTTATATCCGCCTATACAAACTGAAATTGTGGGCTACGATCTCAATTTGTTACTAACTTGAAACTTAGCTTGGAGAAAGAGCCCACATTTTCTATGACCCTGCATTTACCATAAGCATTCTCAGGGAAACTGATGGCTCACTCTTTCGACTCTAAATCAATTTGAGCTTCTCCCAAGAAATATCTAGTTACCCATTTTGGTCTCTCCACACTATCCTATTTCCCTGTATCTGTACTCTAAGTTGATTCAAGATTCTATTAATAAACTCCTCTACCCCACAGATAAAGAAGACACCAATCAACTTGATTGAAACGAAGAGACCAAAGCAATCAAACAAGCATATTTAGCATTACACACAGTGACCAAGCACATGGCAGCAATTAAAAATCACCAACAGAAACCCAAACCAAACTCATGCATCTTTTCACTCAAAGGTGTACTCAAGCAAGCACATATTTTTTTAATCTACTTGAGGTCTATTTAAAAAAAGAAAAAAGGAAACCCTTTATCATATGGCTCAAAAACTATGCTCTGATTTTTCATTTGCTAACAATGACATGAAGACTATAGTATCTGCATGGAAGTATTAGATTTAAAATGCTTCTAACTACAACTCAAAAATTTATGTGTGCGAGGATAAGTGGGTGAGACAATGAGAGGGGGGAAAGTGTATATGCATTTAAGTACTCACTTGCTCCAATTTAAAAATATGCTGATTGAAGTAGTGCTGTAAACGTTCATTAGCAAAATTAATACAGAACTGTTCAAAGCTGTTATTTTCATAATCTTCAAACCCAAAAATATCAAGAACACCAATGGACAAAGTCTGTAAAACAGAAAAAAAAATTATGATGGTTAAAAAATGATCCTCAAATTTATTTCATGAATAATATACACAATTATAGGTTAACAAAATGCTCAAAGTTCTTCTACAGCAGTGGACAGGAAATTTTGGAGAGCCAGTATTCAACCAAAATATTCCACTAAATAAAAACAATTTTAGTTTTATTTTCATCTTTTTCTTTTTAACCCAATTATAAAAATACATCCAAAATTTTAACACATGTAATACACTGTTTACAAAAATGTTCAACGCACGGTTAGTGACCCGTTACCTCAATCACAGAAATCCCTAAATTCCAAGAGACAAGGAAATAGAAAGAATCACCTATGGGGAAGTAAAAAATAACCTAAAGCTAGATTTTTCCTGGCTATCCCAGGTTATGCAAAGAACACCATGCAAGTTTTCCTATTTTCACTTTTATAGCCCAACAGAATTCTGCTTTGCAAACCAAGCTAATTAGTATATTTAATCAGCCTTGTACAAGCTAAGGATGAAATTGGATATCAGAATATGTGGTTTCTTCAATTTTTAAAACAATCTTTTTAAAGATCCATTTATTTAGAGAAAGAGAGAGTGCGAGGAGGGGCAGAGGGAAGAATCCTCAAGCAGACTTCCTGCTGAGTGTGGAGCCTGACAAAGGGCTCGATCCCACAAGCCATGAGATCATGACCTGAGCTAAAACCGAGAGTCAGATACAGATGCTCAATTGACTGAGCCACCCAGGTGCCCCCAATTTTTTTTTAATTTTTATTAAAAAAAACTGTACAAAGTTTACGATGTTAAATAGTTCTAAAAAATTATAACAAAAAACAATAATCTCTTTTTCATTATCAATTTCTGCTCCCTAAAGTCAACACTCAAAATTTTATCTATCTGGTATAAAATATTACAGTATAGTATACAAATGCTTATTCTTCTATGTCTTGATTATTCTGCTTCTACATACTATATTCTAACTTCTTACTATAGATAACAAGGGTTCAGCTCTAATACCCCCAAACCAGCATTCTTCTCACCACCTCACCTCATTCTTAAAATACAGTTACATGACAATTTTGGTTAAATGAAAAAAATCTTTCTCCACTAGTACTGAGAGATAATGGGTAAACTAATGTAATGAGTAATAAATACTAAGATTTTTTTTTTAAGATTTATTTATTTATTTCAGAGAGAGAGAGGGAGAGCATGAGCAGGGAGAGGGGCAGAGGAAGAGGGGGAGAGAGAATCCTCAAGCAGAGGGACTGTGGACTGTGGAGCCTGACATGGGAATCAATCCCAGGACCCTAAGACTATGACCCAAGCTGAAACCAAGAGTCAGCCACCCAACTGACTGAGCCACTCAGGTGCCCCAATAGTAAGAGATTTTTTAAGGTCTCCATTAAGAGTATTTTCTTTGAGGGACCTGGGTGGCTCAGTCAGTTAAGCCTCTGACTCAAGTGATTTCTGCTCAGGTCACGATCTCATGGGTAATGGGATCAAGCCCCACGTGGGGGCTTTGCACTCAGCAGCGAGTCGGCTTGAGATTCTTTCTCTCTCTCCCCTCTGCCCCTCCCCCTGCCTGCACTCGCACTCTTTCTCTCTCTCAAATAAATCTTTAAAAATAAAGAGTATTGGGGCGCCTGGGTGGCTCAGTTGGTTAAGCGACTGCCTTCGGCTCAGGTCATGATCCTGGAGTCCCTGGATCGAGTCCCTGGATCGAGTCCCGCATCGGACTCCCTGCTCGGCAGAGAGTCTGCTTCTCCCTCTGACCCTCCCCCCTCTCATGTGCTCGCTCTCTCTCATTCTCTCTGTCGCAAATAAATAAATAAAATCTTTAAAAAAAAATAAAAATAAAAAATAAAGAGTATTTTTTGATTGATTCTGTTAATTCTAAACCCTTATGAAAAACAGTAAAAGTAATGACCTTCAAAAATAAGTCACTTTGGTAAATAAGATTCTTATTACAATTTTCTAACTATAGGCTTACTCAAACGATGAAAAATTAATGTTAGAACCATTTTACATTTAAGACGGGAGGATTAAGTAATAAAGATGACATATTTTAATCACCCTAAAGATGCAGACTACTCCACAGAAAGTTGCTGGGAAATAAAAATGGATCTGAAATGATTTAAATACTAAAATCTGCCATATTAAAAAATAAATTCCAGAGGCGCCTGGCTGGCTCAATCAGTGGAGCATGTGACTCGATTTCAGGGTTGTGAATTCGAGCCCCACATTGAGTGTAGAGATTACTTAAAAATAAAATCTTAAATAAATTCCAATGGAAAAAAAAAACCTGAATATAAAAAAAATTAAAGTCTAAAAGTATGAGAATATTTTTATAATCTTAGGCTGAAAGAGGCCTTCCTAAATAAGAAAAATAAATAAATAAAAAAAGGAAAATAAAGGAAAAGAATGGCAGAATTAACTGCACAAAAATTTAAAACTACAGGCCCTAAAACACAACATACACAAAACTTAAAAGTTCAGAGAAAATATATGCAATATATATCAAACTATGAATCTCTGCAATATCCACAATGACTCCAAGAAAGAAGTAACAAAAAAACAAAATGAACAACATAAAAATAGCAGAATATATAATGAAATGATGAAAAACCATGAGAAGATACTCGACTCTCATCTATCATTGAAAAAACGGACAATAAATTGGGATAGTCCTCCTAATCAGATTAGTAGATGAAAAGACCGATAATATCCAATGTGAGTAAAGGTGTAGGGAAATAGGCATTTTCATACACTACCAGTGGAAGTGCAGTCTTAGTTCTGAGCACTTTAGCAATTTAGCAGTAGCTAACAAAATTCTAAAATGTATATATTCTTAAATCCAGCAATTCATTTTGAGGATTTTATCCTAAAGAAATGTACACAAAGAATATTTGTTACATCATCATTTATAACAATAAAACAAAAGCAATATATTTTTAAGGGGAAATTTATGGTATACAGGCATACTATATAATATTACAAAGTTATTAAAAATAATGAGGTCCAAATCTATTTCAAGACCTATCAGGTAAAATAAAAAATACAGGTTAGAAACACTACAGATAACATAATTCTATTTTTAAGCTTAAAAGCAACTCTGTATATGTACATCCATAGAAATGTACATAAGAAAAAGGTCTGGAAAGACACATAGAACAAGTTTCCCTGAATATCAGGGTAATAAAAACATACATACATAAGGAGGGAAACAGCACAGAATACAGACAAACAGTGATTCTTATTTATTACTCTACATAATTCTGTGTTTTTAAATTTCAATTATCTTAATAAAACAATTTTCCAGGAAAAATATATAATAATCCAATGTATGTGTACCTTTGTATTTTGCTCCAAATCTTTACTATTCAGAAGTGCATGATTAATCCGAAAAACTATCCAGTCAAACAGGGCACTATATAAAGACTTAGCCATGGAGTTCCTCACTGTCACAGCCTGAAAAAAAGAAGAAAAGGGTTGGAGAACAAATGAAAATGGCAATAATCTAAGATACTGTAACAAAGTGTATTTTGTGCTCAACTAATAAAGAAAGCTTACTATCCTGAGTTAGAAATTTAATTTTCTCTCAATTTAAATAGCCTATAACTGAAGCTTTCCATATACCCATACTCATTAATCTAGTCTCAACTCTAATCTAGGCTAAAAGGTAAGAAAAACAAAATGTAGGTCACTTAGTTCAAAACACTTTGACTGAAAATTGGGGTATACATTTTACCTAGTAAAGAAGGTGTAATAGGAGGTTTACAAACAAATCAAACTTGCCAGCAAAAGTGGGGAAGACTATTCCAGGCAGAGGAATAAATCTGTTGGCAAACAGGAATCAGTTATCTGTGGAATCCTAGTTAGACTCTTAAAATTAATAATCATAATACCACCACAATTACATTCCTGGTTGTCTTCAATTTGTTATCCACCGTAACCTCAAGGATTTCTCCATCCCCAGATGGAGTAATAATTCTTTCATTATGGAGTAATACAATTTCTTTTTTCCCTCTCACTTCAAGCTTTTCCCAGTTTATGGAAACTCTCTGTACTAACTGCTCAAAATTTCTGGAAATCTAAAATTGTTCTAAAAAATAAAATCTATTAGTTAAAAAAACAATCAACATTTAGAAAGTACTACAACCTAAAAAAGGAGGGGAACATATTTTAGAGAATTGAGTCCTAGCACTTAGAGAATATAAGTCCTAATTACTTAAGCTTTATATTCAGGTACATACTTATGTATCTGTCCTACAGTTTAGAGGAAATAGAGAATAATGATTAAAAGCTAGGCTGTCTTCCAATCCCAGTTCCTCTACTTATTCTAGGGATGTAACCTTGGCCCAAGATACTTTAACTCTTAAGCTACAGCTTATACATTTGTAAAATGTGGATAATACTACAATCTACCACATGAATGATGAATTAATTTCTGAATTTCAGTGAATAAAAAAACGAAAGCTTCAAGTTTCTAGACCAAAAATTAACTACCTAAACCATTACCTGCACAGGAAAGGGAAGATGCTATCAAATTCTCTATCTTCAACACCAGAAACTTGAAAACAACTGGAAAATGTTCAAGTTCTGAGAGAAAAAGGAATGTGACCCTAGAATTCTATACTTAGGCAGGTTATCACCAAGTATCTTTAAAATTCAAAAAAATCAATAGATATATAGAGAGAATAACCATCTATTTTTCTCCAGAGGGAAGAATGAATACAATCTGATCTAGTTCAGCAAAAGTAAAAGATTTTAAAAACTAAATACACAAGCATAGACCAAAAAAAAAAAAAAAAAAAACACCACAGAAAAAGAAAACATAGTACCATAAAAAATACAAATGGGTTGAATTTTTTAGTGAAAAGACAGATCTTCACATTAAATTAAAAACTATAACCCACCTACTATGGTTTAAACCAGTCAGACAGAATCCAGATATACAAAATATACCAATATAATACTTATTTACTCCATAACATCCAATATTATACTTTTGGTCTCTTTTCTCTGAAATGTGGTCCTATCACAGCTTAATCTCAATAAACCCAAATACCAATTAACATTTTCCCACCCAAACAAGATCTCATTGTTTCCTATCTCAATGAATGGTACTAATACTCTTTCAGTTGTGTGAGCCAGAAAATTAGGATTTATCCTTAATATTTCCTTCTTTCTCCTTGCTTCCCAGTAAGCAAATCATTGCCAGATCCTGTTGATTTTATCATCTAAATTTCTTTCATACCCATTTCTCCCTATCAATATGTCACTATTCTAGACAAAGCAGCCAACCTCTTTCTCTTCAGGAGTACTACTACAGCCTCCAAATTCACTCTTGCCCTCTATGTTAGAACACTAAGATGATCACCAAGATTCCCATTCCCTTGTATACATGTTCTGTATAACCCCCTCCTGTTAAGTGTGGGCAGTACTGTAAATATGATGAATTTCACTCCAGTAACTATCTTATATTATATGACAAAGGATTTTAAAGATATAATTATGGCCCAAAATCAGCTGATTTTTTTAATTAACCAAAGGAAGATTATACTGGGTAGAGCTGACTTAATCAGAGAAATCTCTTAAAAGAGACTGACCCTTTAATCCATTAGAGAGTCCCCTGCTGGCCTCTAAAGAAACAAACTGCCATGTTGTGTACAAGACCACAAGCCGACTCTGCTGAGCATGGCCCCTGACAGCTAACAAGAAATTAGTGCTCTCCAAAAATGGACCTTCAACTCTATGGTCAACTAATCTTCAACAAAGCAGGAAAGAATGTCCAACGGAAAAAAGAAAGTCTCTTCAACAAACGGTGTTGGGAAAATTGGACAGCCACATGCAGAAGAATGAAACTGGACCATTTCCCTACACCACACACAAAAATAAACTCAAAATGGATGAAAGACCTAAATGTGAGACAGGAGTCCATCAAAATCCTAGAGGAGAACCAGCCACAGCAACTTCTTCCTAGAAACATCGCCAAAGGCAAGGGAAGAAGCAAGGGCAAAAATGAACTGTTAGGACTTCATCAAGATAAAAAGCTTCTGCACAGCAAAGGAAACAGTCCACAAAACCAAAAGACAACCGACAGAATGGAAGAAGATATTTGCAAATGACATATCAGATAAAGGGCTAGTATCCAAAATCTATAAAGAACTTACCAAACTCAACACCCAAAGAACAAATGATCCAATCAAGAAATGGGCAGAAGACATGAACAGACATTTTTCCAAAGAAGACCTCCAAATGGCCAACAGACACATGAAAAAGTGCTCAACATCGCTCGGCATCAGGGAAATCCAGATCAAAACCTCAATGAGATACCACCTCACACCAGTCAGAATGGCTAAAATTAACAAGTCAGGAAACAGATGTTGGCAGGGATGCGGAGAAAGGGGAACCCTCCTACACTGTTGGTGGGAATGCAAGCTGGTGCAGCCACTCTGGAAAACAGTATGGAGGTTCCTCAAAAAGTTGAAAATAGAGTTACCGTACGACCCAGCAATTGCATTACTAGGTATTTACCACAAAGATACAAATGCAGGGATCCGAAGGAATACATGCACCCCGATGCTTATAGCAGCAATGTCCACAATAGCCAAACTGTGGAAAGAGACAAGATGTCCATCAACAGATGAATAGATAAAGAAGATGTGGTGTATATATACACAATGGAATATTATGCAGCCATCAAAAAAAGAAATCTTGCCATTTGTAATGACATGGATGGAACTAGAAGCTATTATGCTAAGCGAAATAAGTCAATCAGAGAAAAACAAGTATCATATGATCTCACTGATATGAGGAATTCTTAATCTCAGGAAACAAACTGAGGGTTGCTGGAGTGGTGAGGGTGGGAGGGATGGGGTAGCTGGGTGATAGACATTGGGGAGGGTATGTGCTATAGTGAGCGCTGTGAATTGCGTAAGACTGATGAATCATAGACCTGTACCTCTGAAACAAATAATACATTATATGTTAAAAAAAGATAGTAGGAAGGGAAAAATGAAGGGGGGGAAATTGGAGGGGGAGACGAACCATGAGAGACTATGGACTCGAGAAACAAACTGAGGGTTCTGGAGGGGAGGGGTTGGGGGATGGGTTAGCCTGGTGATGGGTATTAAAGAGGGCATGTATTGAATGGAGCACTGGGTGTTATACGCAAACAATGAATCATGGAACACTACATCAAAAACTAATGATGTAATGTATGGTGATTAACATAACATACTAAAATAAAATTAAAAAAAGAAAGAAATTAGGGCTCTCAATCCTATAACTCTAAGCAACTGAATCCTATCAACAACCTGTGAACTAGGAAGAGGATGCTGAGTCTCAGATGAGATCACAGCCTTTTCAGACATCTTGACTTCAGCCTGGCGAAACCCTGAGCAGAGGACCCAACAAACCTGTGCCCAGACTGATCCATGGAAAGTGTCAGAAAATATTAAGTCACTATGTTTGTTACACAATTACAGAAAACCAATACACTCTCCTCTAATTGATTCTTGTACACTGTTGTGAAAGTGATCCTTTAAAAAAAAAATCTAAGACACTTTTTTTGCTTAAAACATTTTAAGGCTCCTCCATTGCTCGTCAGATAAAATATTAAAATCCCTAAGGGCTGCTCCTTATTTTACCCCAATGCCTAGTACATTTCTGGACACAAAACAGATTTTCAAATATTTACTACACAAATAAATAAATACACCAAACAGATATAAACAAAAATAAATCAGGATCTACAAAAATCATCTCAGAAAGCTGAATTTAAAGTTAAAAATATAAATAGGGCACCTGGGTGGCTCAGTTGGTTAAGCGACTGCCTTTGGTTCAGGTCATGATCCCAGAGTCCTGGGATTGAGTCCCACATCGGGCTTCCTGCTCAGCAGGGAGTATGCTCCTTCCTCTGACCCTACCCCATCTTGTGCTCTCTCTCTCTCTCAAATAAATAAAAAAATAAAATAAAATAAAAAAATATAAATAAACATAAGGAAATTTTTTTTAAGAGAGAGTGGGAGAGGAGAGGGGCAAAGGGAGCGAATCTCAAGCAGGCTGCACGCTGCCCAGCGCAGAGCCTCACAAGGGCTTGATCTCACAACTCTGAGATCATGACCTGAGCCGAAACCAAAGAGTCGGACACTTAACCAACTAAGCCACACAGGTGCCCTGGGAAATATTTTATATTGAAAAAAGTTGTAAAAGAAAATATAAAAGTACTGAAACTTTATGTAAAAGAAGGGCAAAACTTTTAAAAAGGTTTGGCTTTTTCTGTTGTTTAGAAAGGAGTTCTTAAATTTGGAGATTATGACATAAGACACAAGACATAATGAAGAAATGCAGACTTGATGGCAGTTAGGAAGAACCCCAAAAATAGGAAAAATGGATCAGTGTCAGCCTAAAAAGCATTCTCTACAGTTCTATCACTATTTCCCCACCTCTGTCTTCTAATCTCACATTCCTGTCCTATTTTTATAGTAACTGTCATAGTTTGATTTATCATCACTGTCATTACACTACAGAACAGTAGGCTTTTCAATAATTTTCCCATTCATATACACCTGAGTGGCACATTCTAATAATAATAATGGCAATGCTGCAATAAAAATCTCATCTGGAAGCCTCAGTATACAGATCATACTTAAAGCAATGGGACTATGTGAGATAATCTAGATAAGGAATATAGAGAAGAAAAGACAAAGACTATGTCAGGTAAAAAAGAAAGAGGTCAGGTGAAAAAGAAAGAGCGAACAAAAAGAATTACAAATGAGTGGCCAACAATGAGAAAGTGAACCAGAAGAGTATGACATTCTGGAAGATAAGAAACTGCCTGAAGAAGAAATTATCAACTGGATCAAACACTGCTCATTTGTAAATCCATCTACTACCTGTTCACCCCATATTAATAATATAAAACTTAAGAATGGTGAACAGATTAAGATCTCAGAAGAAAAATGTATGCCTATTGCTTAAAATCACATTCGACTTTAAGTTTTCAAGTTGATGGAAAGTTCACAGATGAATTTCAAGGGTCCAGAAAATATTTCAATCAACACTCTTTTTGATGTTATTTTCATTCTGTTAAAAGAAAGAACAGAAATTCAAACTTCTAAAACTGTTCAGAGTACTTTGATCTCAAGAAAATCTATTCATACCTCTGCCAGCTTGTATGGCAAAACAAGCTTTTCTCCCACTGTCACAGTCTTCCTTGTAACTAACGCTTCAAATAGCATTTCTTCTTTAACCTATACAACAGAAAAGTAAATTCAGTGTATAAGATTTATGACGAGCTGATTTATTTATTGAAAATCCAAATAAAGAAAAAAATGTTTAATGAGATTAGCAAATATATAATAGAAAAAAACAAAGACAGTACATTTAGCCATTTAAATATTGGCCAAGGTGAAAGCTAAATGTTCCACTCACCCTACTTCCCACCCCGCCCCCAAAATGAGAGGATAAGTAAGACAGATGGGTCTTTCTAGTTAAAAGTTTTCTTTCTGATCATAATGGAGAAACGTGTTTCTTTGTGCAAAATATGGAAAATATAGAATAGTGCAAAAAACATTTTAAGAATATCAACCATAATCCCACAACTAGCAGACAAGGACTAAAAAGTGACAATACTTCTTGAATTCCAGGAACATTACAATGAGTACTAATTTTTGTTTCAGATGGTTTATATTTATTTGCATATGTTAATTTTAAAATAAAGTTGATGCTGCCTTTGTTCTCATTCTCTCTAGAGGTAAATACTATCATGAATTTGATATGTTATCATCTCAGTTTGGGTTTTTCTACATATATAATATATATATTAGATGTATTTGTAAACACTACATTATACTGCCAAGTGTATTTAACTCTTATCTGTATGGAATCATATTGCCCATATGTTTTTGAGATTTAACTACGTTGATCATCAAGCTTATTCATTTTAACTACTATATAGCTTCCCAGTATATAAATTACTGCAGTGTGTAATCCTATGTGTAGGCATTTACACTATTAGGAAGTAAACTGAATATTCTTACATATGAGTTCAAGAATTTCTCTCAAGTACAAATCTAAAAGTGGAATTACTAGGTTATAGCATACACATTTTCATCTTTAAAGGATATTGCCAAACTACTGTACATAGTTCTCACCAGTTTGCTCTCTCATCAGCCCTGAGCATTCCTATTTCTTTAAACTTTGACTATACTTGGTATTATCAGACTACTGACTTTTGCCACACTGAGGGGCATGAAATGGTAAAACAAGGGCATTTTATAAAAGCATCCATACAAATAAAGACATAACACTCATAAAATTTTAAGTAGATAATATGATATGAAGTATATCAAGCAAAAAAGATTCAATTATAAGGAGAAATTGAGTTACAAAACAACAGAGTGAAGCATTACCTTGCCACCAGCAATTCATGACAGATCAATCATTTTTTAAAATATGATACCATAAAGGAAATATACCTTCTTCTGGAGCATTCACTGCTCAATCTTCAAATTCAAAACAAATTGGAAAAAATTTCAACTTCAGTAAAACTAAAAATAAATAGCCAAAGTTTAAATATAAGACCTCAAGCTTTCACATATATTTAAAATATTTTGAAAAACAAAAATTAAATACCAGATTACACAAATATGACAAAACTAATAAAACTAATAAAAAACTTAAGTGATAAAAACCACTGTTATATTGTGAGATTAAGCAATTATTATTAAAAGTGAATATTTAAAAATAAATGATCTGGGGTGCCTGGGTGGCTCAGTTGGTTAAGCGACTGCTTTCGGCTTGGGTCGTGATCCCAGGGTCCTAGGATCGGAGCCCTCCATCGGGCTCCTTGCTCAGTGGGGAGTCTGCTTCTCCCTCTTCCGCTCCCCCTGCTTGTGTGTCCCTTTCTCTCTCTCTCTCTCTCTCCCCCCCTTTCTCTGTCAAATAAATGAGATCTTTAAAAAATAAAGTATCCATGCAGTAGACTCAAGAAATTTTTTTAAAGGAACAAACAAATATAAGCTAGCAACAATGTGGAGAAAAAATCACTTCCACACACTTGTATAAACTGGTACAACCACTATACACACTAATCTGTCAATATCAGTAAACTATTTATACTCTAGAATAATTCTCACACATGTCAGCAAAGAGACATGTACAAAAAATGCCTATCATAGTACTACCAATAAATGAGAAATTACAAATGACCTCAAATCCCCACTAAAAAAAATGTTTTATTCATATAATGAAATTTTATAAAGCAACTAAGAAGAATCATGTAGAATGTTTAAATCAGTATTGAAAAATCTCAAAAACATAGTATGGAATGAAAATTCAAGTTTTAGAATGATACAGTAAAACATTTATATAAAGTATGAAATTATACAGAAACCTATACATTCTTATGTAAACATCTACCTATTCTGAAAATAGAAAAACAAGAATGAGAATGATAAACACCAAACTCATAATAGTGTTTACTTCTGGTGTAGCAGAGTAAAAAGTGAGCTACAATTATATGCAATATTTTATTACATGAGTGGGGTTGTGAGTACACAGGTGTTTATTATATTATTTTCTATATATATTGTGTCCTGAGAACAATTCATAATTTAACAAAGAGAAAAATGAAGAAAATATGTTAAAACAGAAATTAAAACATATTAAGTAAAATGGTAGAAATGATAAATCTAAAGGCCACTTACTTGAAAATAAGAAATGAAAAACGACTCTCACCAAATCAAAAAAATTAAGAAATACAAACAGAAAGCTAACACCATAAGAAAAAGGTTTTAAACATTAACAGAATATTTACAAAGAATGCCAAATAATAAATTTTGAACATTTAATCAACACATGATTTCCTAGATAAAGAAAAATCATCAAAATGAACTCAAGGGGCGCCTAGGTGGCTCAGTCCTTAAGCGTCTGCCTTCAGCTCAGGTCATGATCCCAGAGTCCTGGGAACGAGCCCCGCTATCAGGCTCCCTGCTCAGCGGGAAGCCTGCTTCTCCCTCTCCCACTCCCCCTGTTTGCGTTCCCTCTCTTGCTGTCGTTCTCTCTGTGTCAAATAAATAAATGAAATCTTTAAAAAAAAATGAACTCAAGCCAGACTTGAAAATCCTAAAAAACTAGTTAATACAAAACAAACTGGAAGGACATCAAATACGGTTGAACATAGGGTTGATATCTCTCAAATCTTTAAGGAACATATTTTTCTTTGCTAATGATTCTTCTCTTAAACGCAGAAAAAATTTTGAAAAGATAAAAAACTACCCAACTCATTTTGAGTTGGCTTAATGCTGGCACTAAAACCTAATAATGATCATACAAAGATCTACATACAAAACACACTAATCTTGCTTATCTTTGATAAACATCCTGAAGAAAATATTAGTGAATTCATATTTTAATCAACTACCTCTGTAATTTCCCAAATGTCCTTAGTTGTACATGTGACTTTTAAAATTAAAAAAATAAATTTTATTAACACAAAATAAGAATGATTCAATAATCCAAGTCTACAATGTTTCTCATATTCACCTAATTGAGAAACTGATATGTGTGTTAAAAACCCATTCTTTATAGTTTCAACAGATGTTAAAATATATTCACAATACATAAATCTGCTAAAAACTGAACAGTTTTTGATAATGATGATGGTTCTAATATGCTCCAAAATATGCAACAAAAATATGTTCCACAATTACCCACAATTAGTCTACTGGAGCTTGTTCATCTTTCAGTAATTTCACAAGTATATATCTCAAATAGAATTCAGTGAACAGAATACTCAAAATATTCACTAATGCCTGAGGTAACTACAAAATTATAAAAATAATTGAAAAAATAGAATTATTTCAGAAACATTTGTTCTTAAAAACTAAATCTATATTTATCATTGAACTGAATCACTTTAAGAAGGAGAGGAATTAAATTAAATCTTAACTAAAGAGTTTACATTTTGGGGCGCCAGGGTGGCTCAGTCATTAAGCGTCTGCCTTTGGCTCAGGTCATGATCCCAGAGTCCTGGGATAGAGCCCCACATTGGGCTCCCTGCTCCGCGGGAAGCCTGCTTCTCCCTCTCCCACTCCCCCTGCTTGTGTTCCTGCTGTCACTATCTCTCTCTCTGTCAAATAAATAAAATCTTAAAAAAATAATAATAAAAACTTTACATTTTAATTAAACCAGTTATTGCTCCTATCTTTGAATTCTATCTCAACAAAAGCCTTAAGGTTGCAATTATTATTATCAATTTTAACCAATTACAGGAAATCATTTTATTTTTTTAATTTTATTTTTTATTTAAATTCAATTAATTAATATAAAAATGTATTATTAGTTTCAGAGGTAGAGGTCAATGATTCATCAATCTCATATAACACCCAGTGCTCATTACATCACGTGCCCTCCTTAATGTCCTTCACCCAGTTACCCCATCCCCCCCAAAGCCCTGTTTGTTTAGGAATCATTTTAAAAAACAATTTCTAAGAACTAAATACAAGCAGGATACTATTCGATAGGTCCTGTCCGTACTTGTCTAGCTCCTCAACTTTGAAGATAACTTCTTCCTACTTATTACCAAACATCCATTCCTAGAACCAGTCCAGACTAAACAAACAAGAAGGAAGTTAAGGGGTCCCTGGCTGGCTCAGTCAGTTAAGCATCTGACTCTTGATTTCAGCTCAGGTCATGATCTCAGGGTTGGTGGGATCGAGCCCTACAACGGGCTCCTTGCTCAGCAGGGAGTCTGCTTGGGATTCTCTCTCTCCCTTTGCCCACCCCCCACTCACATGTTCTGTCTCTGTCTCTCTCTCTCAAATAAATAAAATGTTTAAAACAAAAAAAAAAGGGAAGTTAAGAAGCTTGGGTTCAAAAGTGAGATTTGGTAACCAATCACATTTGCAGTTGGTCTAACTTTGACACTGGTAAGCCCAATTCTCAGAACAAGATTTCTCCTTTTTCACCAATACTTGGTTCCTTTTAGAATTACCTGAATTGCTCTTACCAGTCTCTAACCAAAGAAACAATACTGCACTAGGACCAGAATCCTTGGAATTTGCTGAATGCCTGAACTTATAAATAAAACCACTAGCTACAATGCACTATTATTACCACAATACCAAGTGTTTCTGTTGACTAAAATATCACCTAAAATGCCTGACTGAAATACCATCTGTTCCCTGATCCTCATGACCTTGAAAATTACCACCTTCAGATACCACATTCCATCCACCTCCTGGTAGAACTTCTTTCCAATGAGTGAGTCTAGTTTCAATTTAATGTATCCCCTTCTCCTGCCCCGTCTGCCAGACTAACTCATTTCATTAAAGTTAATAAACAACACCCAGGCATGTGCAAAATAATAAGCACTGTAAGGTTAGATAAATAAGAAAGAGGCATCTATTGCTCTCAAAGAGCATTGCTGCCTTATAATGGACACAAACTAGTAAACAATTAACTTTCTGCTACAAAATCAAAATTAAATTACACTAAGCAGATGCAAATGTTCTACCTAATGGAGTCAGTTTAGATCATTTAATAAGGTTAAACCCTATTGAAGTGGCAAATGAACCAAGATTTGAAAGATGAGTAATATTTTGACAGAAAAAAGGTAAGCTACTCATAACTGCAAAAAAAATGGAAACAACCAAGATGTCTATCAATAGGTGAATGTATAAAACAATGGTACATCCATACAATGGCATATTACCCAGCAATAAAGAGAAATGAGCTATCAAGCCACAAAAAGACATGAATGAATCTCAAATGCATGTCGCTAAATGAAACAAGTCAGTCTGAAAAAAGGTTGTATACTATATAATTTCAATTACGCTACATTCTGAAAAAGGCAAATCTACAGAGGTAGTAAAAGATCAGTGGTTGCCAAGGGTATGAGGATAGGGATTGAAAAGGTGAAGCACAGGGGATTTTTAGGACTGTAACTATTCTATATGATACTGTAATGGAGGAACATGACATTACTCACTTGTCATAAACCATACAGCACAAAGAACGAATCTTTTAGAAAATTATTTCAGACATTGGGGGATTCTAGGAAAGAATGCAGACCATGACAAGAGAATCTAACTGTATGACAAATATATGAAACAACCTCAGTGAAGGGAGTGGGAGGAAAAGGTGCTAACCTAAGTAATTTTGGAAATTAATGGAGTCTGAAAAACTAAAGGCAAAAGGAACATTATACTCTAGTTGATAAAGTCATTTCCCATAGCAGTGCACACATACATAAATACATGTACATTCCCATACATGAACAGTTGATCCTTGAACAACACGGGTTTTAACTACACAGGTCCACTTACCTGTGGGTTTTTTTTGATAAATACAGTTCTGTAAATGTATTTTCTCTTCCTTATGATTTTTTTTTTTTTAAGATTTTATTTATTTATTTGACAGAGAGAGACAGCGAGAGAGGGAACACAAGCAGGGGGAGTGGGAGAGGGAAAAGCAGGCTTCCCGCTGAGCAGGGAGCCTGATGCGGGGCTCTATCCCAGGACCCTGGGATCATGACCTGAGCCGAAGGCAGACACTTAACGACTGAGCCACCCAGGCACCCCTCTTCCTTATGATTTTAACATTTTCTTTTCCTAGCTTACTTTATTGTAAGAACACAGTATATAATGCATCTAACATACAAAATATGTTTCAATCAACTGTTTATGTTATCAGTAAGGCTGCTGGTCAACAGTAGGCTATTAAGTTTCAGGGGAGTCAAAAGTTATACACAGATTTTTGACTGCCAGAGGGGTTGGTACCCCTAGCCCCTGCGTTGTTCAAGGGTCAACTGAACACTAAAATTGAATAATTAAGTAAATGAAGAGCAGAAGGTAGGAGATACTTTCCTCACTGTTAAAATGGGAGTTTATAGATAGGGAGAGAAGCCTAGAATGATACATGAGATAAAGTATTAGTTAAGAACATCAGTAGGACCTCATGTTTATCTTTATACAGATAAACATGATGGATATATAAAAACATCTATAGTATGTGAATACACACAGGTTAGTAAACACACATATATTTCCTTGCTCTGTGAGAGGAGAAGGCCTATAAGAAATGATGCCCCTTTCGAGATGAATCTAGCAAGATGAGAAGTGAGCTGGGAAAACATGAGAAATCATCACTCCAGGAAGAAAGAATGAGGTAATAAAGACCTTAATAGGAAGAAGCATGGTAGATGAAGACCTCTGGCTCTTGTTTAGATATGAAGATAAAAAGTTAGTACCTTTTTCTCTCCACTCATCCAGATATCCCATCTTCAGATAAATAATCTAACCAAAATCTTAGTATGAGAAGAAATCTCAAATACAGAAGGAGAAAAACTATTAATGGCTTAGAATATGGTACAGTCTAGAATGAAATACCGCTCCTTTCCAGCAAATTGAGGGATTATGGATATCCAGGCCAAAGGGAGGCAGGCAAGAAAACCCAAGCCTTCCAAAGATTCTGGCACGATCAACAGCAAAAATTCCATCTTTTGGAGAAATACTATTAATAAAAAGCATTAACCCATTTACACCTAACCAAATAATTACACAAAATTAAAAATGAGACGTTACCCAGTATTTGAGAAATGATAACTGAAAATATAATCACTCACTTCTAATAATTCTGAGACAATAGGCAGAACTTCAGGATTACAGATATCTATGGAGTCATCCCGATATGTCTTCTTTTTATAACAGATATTACCCAAATGTAGTATTGCTGAGAGAAGAGAGAAAATCCTGTGAAAATAAAACCATAAATTATAGCTTGCTTATGTGCAGTCTCCAAACTTATTTCACTGCAAAATTCTAACCAAGCAAATAAACCAGTACAAATGATGTATTCAGTCTTCATAAGAATAAAAAATATAGGAATAATAACTATAATAACTAAAATTTATGTTTACTATGTCAGACATATGCAAACTGCTTTACATAACCTTACTTCCAGTACTGTACCACTGGACATAGTTGTTTGAAGAGGATTTGCTATTGCCTGAATCTGTACAGTGTTTCAAAGTCCATACCTTTCCAAATGCTTTTCATCCTGCCTGGAATGCCCTTTCCCTACATTGTCTATTTCAGATCTACTTAATCAGAATCTTCAAAGGCAAGGCCTTGGAATCTGTATTTTTTTAACCAAATAGCCTAGGTGACTTTTTATGATTAGTTATATTTAAGAAATGGTTTCCTACAAAAGTCCTGATAAATGCTTTTAAAATAAACAGTATGAGGCCATTGGGGTGTATTACCTAATATCAGACCCCGACTATAAAACATCTACAACTGGACCCTCCCTTCCATTCTTCCCTCCTGTTTTAGAGGAAAACATGACCTTCCTCCAGTCAAACTAGACCCCTACTTGTGCTCTACAACATCTCATGAACTCCAGTTTACTCAGGAACTTTATTATACATATTTCCTATCGCTTACCTGAATCTACAAGAACTTTCTATCAAAATAATATTATCTTCACTTTTCTCTTACTTTAAACAACCCATCCTAGATCCCACATCTTCTCCTTACCTTCACAAACAAGCTTATTAAACTGTTTATTTATACTCCTTTTCTTCACTTTGTCATTCCTTATTTACTATCATATCCTGACATCTGACCCCATTAAAATATCTCAGAGAAGTTACCAAGGACCACCACGTAACTAAGAAAATTATGTTACACCCTAACTTATCTGACTTCTCAAAGGCATTTAACACAGCATCTAAAAGCTCTTCCTGGAAACCCATACACACACACACACACACACACACACATCTTTGTGTCTTTCCAATTATTTCCTTATGATAAACCTGTTCTATCTATAAAATTTTAACTATGTGTTTTCTGACAATTAGGAAGTGTTCTAAATAAAATAAAGACACTGCTGGGGCGCCTGGGTGGCTCAGCTGTTAAGCATCTGCCTTCGGCTCAGGTCATGATCTCAGGGTCCTGGGATCGAGCCCCGCATCGAGCTCCTGCTCAGCGGGAAGCCTGCTTCTCCCTCTCCCACTCCCCCTGCTTGTGTTCCCTCTCTCTCTGTCAAATAAATAAAATAAAATCTTTAAAAAAAAAAAAAAAAGACACTGCTTTAGGAACCAAACAGCCACACTTTCAAAGGTCTTGAATCAACATCTAATTGATAGATCTAATTTTTCAAATAATTTAAAATTGTAAATGTTTGAATCATTAACATGACTCAAACAAAATACAAGTCAATTATAAAGGAATAATTCATAAAAGTACTCTGGGTAAATTAGAGAGGAAACACAGTATCAACTGAATCATTATAAAGACTAATGGAAGCCAAAAGATACAAAAATGCAAATTCAGGGCGCCTGGGTGGCTCAGTTGGTTAAGCGACTGCCTTCGGCTCAGGTCATGATCCTGGAGTCCCAGGATCGAGTCCTGCATCGGGCTCCCTGCTCGGCGGGGAATCAGCTTCTCCCTCTGACCCTCTTCCCTCTCATGCTCTCTATCTCTCATTCTCTCTCTCTCAAATAAATAAATAAAATCTTTAAAAAAAAATTTTTTTAAAAAATGCAAATTCATGGGCCACTTATTAAAAACTATTTTTAGTAGTAGTTTATACGGTTGTTAATTATATCATTTCAGAATCTGGGGTTCAACAATCAGTACGTTAATATTTTCTCACACACAAATATATGATACATATTCTCCAACAATAAATGTTATATAAACAATCTAATATACTATAGTAACTCAATATAAAAAAGATTTACAAATATGAATAAAAAAATCCCTATTTTCAAAAAGCTTAAAATCTTGCATTAGGAGATAAAAAAAAAACCTCTATACTATAAGGCAGGGTATCTTAATATACTAAAGATAGAAACAATGCACAGTTAAGAAAATTTTCATTAAAAAGATAGGACATGGGGCGCATGGCTGGCTCAGTAGGAAGAGTGAAACTCGATTTCGGAGTCATGAGTTCAAGCCCCACATTAGGTGTAGAAATTACTTAAATAAATAAAGAGCTTAAAAAATAAAAAGGGAGGACATGAACAGTACTCTAAAGCAAACACGTTTCCATTGACATACCAAATTTTGGGATGCCTGCAAGGTTGTGTTAGGAGGAATTCTGGGTTAGATCTGAGTGCAGTTGAAAAGAATGCTGTGATTTATTAGCACGGTCAATCATGGTCAAAGAAGAGGGGAATAGCAGTATATATGATATGTTATAAAAAAAAAAACCTGAAAGTATTTCAATGAGTAAAAAAGAGATAAAGATGGGTCCTTCAAGAAATGGGGAAAATACTGGACATGCAGAATTCAACATGTTTTAGAGGATACTATCAGTCTAGTTAAAATGCAAAACTTGTGTTAGGGAATATCTGATGATAGTATCTAAAATAGAGAAAGGTCAAATTACAGGCCAGGCTATTAAATATATTACATATATTTTCCAGTGGCTTCCAATATGGGATACAGTGATATTAGAAAGTATGAAAGACACATAACCCATAACCCCTTGGTGTATGAGAAGTACATATTTTATTTCCAACTTACGTTATCTAAAAAAACGAAATTATGTTTCACTATCGTTTAATATATAGATTGACATTTTGATCCATGTAGGTCAATTAGTCAGGTGTGTCACATGAGGTAAAGGAGGTATGTTGAAGAAAGAATATAAGTAATATAGCATGGAGGAATTATAGGGTTACTCTCATTAACTTAGTAACTTTCAGTGAATTACAGTTTATGTGACCAATTAAATGGACTTGCATATTTACATTTGGTTTTATCTTTTTTTTTTTTAAGATTTTATTTGAGAGAGAGAGAGAGAGAGAGCAAAAGCAGGGGAAGCTGCAGGCAGAGGGAGAAGCAGGCTCCCAACTGAGCAAGGGCCCCAATGTGGAACTCAATCCCAGGACCATGGGATCATGACCTGAGTGGAAAGCAGCCACTTAACCAACTGAGCCACCCAGGCGTCCCTTAATTTATCTCTCAAAAAAAGAGTTTGGCAAATAATCTGCTAACTCAAAATTCATAGTAATCACAAGCAAACAAGAAAACAGCAGAGCTGTTCTTCTTCTACTTTTGTATGACATTAAAAGTTGACAATATAATCAGATCTGACATAACTAATTCCCTTCCCAAAAAAATAGTTCTGTTACTATTTTTTTCTGGTGAGAGTCAAGGTTATTTGTGTTATTATTTTTTTTTTTATTATGTATGTTAGTCACCACACAGTACTTCATTAGTTTTTGATGTAGTGTTCCATGATTCATTGTTTGCACGTTAACACCCAGTGCTCATTGCAATACCTGCCCTCATTAATACCCATCATCGGGCTTTAATTTTAAATAGTTTGTTTTATTTTAAATATAATTTGCTTCATCTTTATCCCTCAATCTTTTTACATTTCTACTTTGTTTATAATAAACAAAATATGTTTAGTACAATAGTACAGACATAAATTTACAGAGGAAATACAGAGAAAATTATGTTTTACTGAGAGGTACACATGCCTTAATAAGATTAGAGATCAATGATACAGAAAATAAAGCTATAAAAATAGTGTTATAAAGCAAGTTTCTAAGAAAGGTCTATGGACAGGCTTCAGGAGCAAAATGAACTCCTGCAACTATATGCAAATATTAATGCATGCACAGTTTACAGGAAGAAGAGTTCCAACTTTCAAGAGATTCTCAAAGAATTTATAATAAAAAAAGCAATTCAAAGCAAGTCTTCTAGAAAAATAAATTTTCAAAGCAATGCTTAACAAGGAAGGAGGAGGCATTAGATCCGGAATATCTGTTAGCAAATTCTTTCAAAGGACCAAGTAAGAGGAACTTGTGAAACACACATTGTGATTTGTTCTCTACCAAAGGTGTAATACAATAAACAAACTCACTGTCTTCGTGTCTTGGGAAGAAATCCTACCATTTCCATGGCCAGTTGTAAGCGTTCAAAGTCATGCCTCAAATCTTCCCCCTCCACCGAGAAGCAATCCTGCTTATTTAAGAAAAATGGGGAAGAAATCAAGATTATCTATTGAAAATAAGGTAAGCCACTCAGAAATAAGAGTAATTCTACGTAAGTATACCTGTGTATAAAAATTAGAGCTGGTGAAATATTTAGAGACTTCTTATTACAGCTATGCATACTAAACACATACCTACCAAAATACCAGTAAGTTACCTTTTTATTCTCCCTTTCACAATCACCAAGGCAAGGATCTCAAAGTAACTTAAGATAAAGAGCTAACAATATTATAAAATGTTCTGATACAAAGTTTGATTCTGAGTGGTGCTGAAGAGTTCTGAAGATCCAAAGCATTAAAGAGAGCTCAATTCCACAAACAAATGTTATTTATTCAACAAACATTTAATAAATGCCTACGCTTATGCAAGGCGCTGAACTAGATGCTGAGACACAAAAATAAATTTTAGAAGAGGCAGTAATTTAGTTGAGAAATGGAGCCTAGATTTATATAATATAAAGATGTTTATATCAATATTAGATAATATAGTTCCTAATGAAATTATATAAACAACATGATTATCAATCAGCAAAAGAAAGTATACGTGAAAATTAAAAATCTGCAAAATACACAATTAGTAAAGATAGCTGTGAACTACCAAATAAAAAAAATACTTTTAGAGTAACCCTTGTATTGGGGCGCCTGGGTGGCTCAGATGGTTAAGCATCCACCTTCGGCTCAGGTCATGATCGAGTCTCGCATCGGGCTCCCTGCTCCTTGGTAGCCTGCTTCTCCCTCTGCGCCTCTCTCTCTCTCTCTCTCTCTCATAAATAAATAAATAAAATCTTTAAAAAATAAAAAAATAAAAAATAATAAAAAATAGAGTAACCCTTGTATTTCAGCTCCCAAAAAAGTCAAACATATATATAATCTTTAAAATAAAAAGTTTTTAAAGCCCTTTACTATTTGTTCTCACAGTCCCTTACACCTACATTTTCAAAAACCTCCTCACATGTATATACTTTTTTAATATCTATCTCTTACTGTGGAATGTTGCATCAAGTACTCAATAAATGCCTTAACTGTTATCTGTTTTACTCACTGCTGATCTCCAGCATCATATCAGTGCCAAGAAGACAGTAATTACTAAAGTAAATATGTAATAACTGAATTATTGAATAAGTACTGAATTAAATGAAACATTCCTTTTTGAGAAAGTACTCATTTAACTTTTTTAAACTACTAATGTAGATATAAAGTTTAAAATTTGATATAAACACAAGGGGATAATTATGTGTACATATATATAATTATATATACATTCAATAGGAAAGAAAACAGGCTCAGAGGTTAAATAATTCACCTAAATGACAGGGGTGGCAAAACGAAAATCTACCCAGTTCTGAATCCTCTGCACTCTCCCAGGCAACACCAGTTGCTTAAGCTTATTTATTTAATAGGATAACCCTTAATACAAATTAAATCAACATACAAATGGGCAACAAGAGGTCCCTTGTTAAAAGCAATTTTCTCACCACAGTTCCCCTTGGGATCATCTATACAATTCCATTATATGTATGATAATATAGGTCAAATTACAAACAGTACCTAACAATCCTCTCTTCTTATAATGCTAAGTCACATGAGTTCTCATAACTCATAGGGAAACAAAGTTTAGTTTTCCCCCAAATACACTCTGAGGAGCTAAGAGGAAAAAACAAACCAAAAGATCCTCAGATTAACTGCTTGCTTTCATTAATTAACTTGTGAGAAAAAGCAACAGAAATTATTCAAAGTTCAAACAGTAACAGACTGAAAACACAATTAAGTGAGAGGCTAGTGATGAAAGACATAAAGGGAGGAGAGGAGTATGGGTACAAAATTCTGTAAGGAAAAGATGGATAATGATGATTTTGATGGTGGCAGCAGCTCTGGGAACATGTACTGTATACTTACTAAATATTAAACACTCTGTCAAGCTATTTAGATGCATTGTCTAATTTAATTCTCACAAAAGTTAAAGACCATTTATATCCCATTAAATATAAGATGGTGGAAACAAAAGAATTATGTGACCTGCTCAGGTTCTCAAAAACTAGTTAAGTGGATAAGCCAGTATTCAAGTCAGGTCTGTCTGCTTCAGAGCCCAAATTCTGAAGCATAACTTAGACTGTCTAAATAACAGCAGATCAGTTCATAAAGTCACGATAAGCTCTGTACAGGCAATCAAGTCTTACACTTGCCATTTGAGTTTTACCAGTCTCCTACCTACTTCCCAATGAGACTCAGTCACTTGATGTTAATAGGTGAAAGATGGAAGCTTCTCAAGAGTGGCAAAACAGTGTAAATTTTTTCTACTAAAATGTAACAAAATCTATAAACTTAAATGTCTAAAATTTTCCAAAATGTTAAATCTAAAACCATAAATTACTTGATATATTATAAAAAGGTAATGCAATTAAATTTTATATGAAGGAAAAAATTAATGACCATAATTCCTGATCCTTCTCAACTCTGAAACAGTCTAGTTTTGTAATTAGTGGAGTATGTAATCACACACAGTGAAAATTAAAGTCATAGTTATTTAAAACTAGAACTAAGACATGTTATGTTTCCAGAAGAAATAATTAATAAATTAGTTCATTAGTTAATTAATAGATATAGATGAGTGCATGTTTTCAGCCTTTACATATGACCTCACGACAAAGGAAAGGAAAAAGATTTTTTGTGTCCTTTTTTGATCACAAACTTGTCCTTATAAAATATAAAAATAAAGCTAAATTTACCTACTCATTTTATGTTACATCATATATGCCCTTAAATCACTCAACTAAAAACAAAATAATCTTATTTATATGAATTTCAATTCTTTTTAAGAAAATTATATAAAGACTACAGCCTCTCTTGCCACTAAAAAACTTTCAAAGAAAAAATGTACATGCATTCATCATGTGAAAAGACTGTTAACTGACACAAAAAACAGGAAGGCTATACCTTTTTAAGATAAACATTACATACTACTCATAACATGTGAGTAATGAAACCACTAAAATAATAATTGAAAAAAAATACACTTTTCAAGAAAAAAACCTGTAGTTCATAAGAATCCATATCAATGCTGAAGACAGGAATACAATCAATTTATTGTCAAAATAAATATAGACTAAACATGAGCAACAAAAAAATAAATTTTTTAAAAAGTAAATTGGTTTTTGATCCACAGACCATACACATACAAAATCAATTCAAAGAAATTAAACATTAATTTATCTTCTTTCCTAGGTTCTTTGTATTTCAGCTGATTTTCTAAGTAATGAGATAGGTGCAAATGAGCAAGGTGAGTGAGGGTCCTTTAACAGGAACACAGAATATTTAGGTACTTGTACTGACCGGCTCAGAGTCATAGCAATAATCATCCCAGCTCTGTCTGAGGGGTTTCTTTGTTATCTGAAAGTAAGGCAGATTAGTTAGGTAGAAGTAATGGTTATCACTGTTCTCTAATCATCTCTTAGATGCAGTATTCAGTTAGCACTGCTGCTACCCAAAGAAAGTTATTTTGTGTAGCAGCATAAAACAAGAAACAACTAGGTAAACATTCAGATTCTGGGAGATCATATATTATTACAACCAATCCATACTTGCTGTTTTCCAATGACTCTGAGATTTGTATTAACTGCTCAGTCTCATATTCCATGAATACTGACCACTTTATGACAAGAATATGTATGGTATGGCCACTGATAACAAAAAAGTATCTGGAAGAAGAGTAAAAAGCTCGGGACTATCAGCTCATTTATGAGCAATTATTAGTTTTTAAAAAGGATATATTTAATCACCCAAATATTTGCAAAGAGTTTAACAGGGAAAAGAAAAAGCTCAGAAGCTAAATCAATGATTTTTTTTAAATCTACTTAATTTTATACAGTACAAATGCCTAATATTATATCAAAAAGCGATATTTTAAATAATTTTGAAATCAATATATTAATACAAAGTTTTATTAGTTTATATATAGTTTCAAAATTAAGAAATATCAGTTACATAGCATCCTGTATATCTTGGGAAAAGTCTGATATTACTTTCATAACCTTAAATACATACTACAACCTTTGAACCATCATCAAAATGTCAATTTCCTTACAAAACCCTCACAAGGATTTTTTAAATTACCATAAAGGCATTTATTTCCATGTATATTACACCTTGCCTCAAACAATCAAAAAAACAAGACAATCTGTTATTTAAGTGATCTACCGTCATACCAATTTCATTAATATACTGATTCTAGAATTTTTATTAATATGAGAAATAATAAAATTGGAGAAACCATTGTAATGAAAAACTACTAGAAATTATCCCTTAATTATGGAAATTTAGGAGTGAATTTTTAGTTTCATGGAAAGATACAATGAATTTCATACTGAATAGGATCATTTGCTAAATTATAAAAATAATCATACTCTTAGTATAATATCATGCAAAGAGGTATACATATTAGACTTCAAAACATACAAAAAAGGTTTCAAGTAATCCCATGCAAAGTGTAAACATTATTAGTAACACTGAACATGCTCTTGTCTTTAAAAGGTAAATCACTTTGAAAAGACCAATCCATTTTTCTAACATGTAGGTACATATATAAACAGTTTATTGTTCTCGAAAGAGTTTCACAAAAAGCAAAGGGCACAAATATAACTAACCTCTCCCAACTCATATGAGTAATAATAATTTTCAAATTTGAGAAGCACATCACATAAATTTTTAGACTGCATGTACGAAAAGTCTAGTTAATATCCATTACTAGGTTTGGGGCACAAAGTATTAGGGAAAAAATTTTTCTCAAGAAGTAAAATTTAATAATGCCCTACATTTCAAAATACATTTCAGGAACTCTCACCTGATTGAGATAATGATACTCTTCCGGTTGTTTAAGATGGAATGCTAATCTTTCTTCTTCACTTGCTCCTGCCAGGAGGTAATAAAATACATGATAGTTCCTGTTGAAAACAAAGAGTATGGCTTTATAATGAACATGATCTATGGTTATCATTTAACAGAAAAATGAGGAAACATTAATTAGTAAAATGTTTCAACTTTGTTTCATTTTTTAATACAAAAATGGTAAGTTCAATATTTTAGGTACTATAAAATAAAATGATGTTTTGGATGCTAAATTCAAAAGAGAGGCATGAAGGCAGCTATATGGCAAAGGTTAAGACCTCTGAAAATTCTCTCCTCCATAAAACCAATTAGAAAACTGGCAAATTTGTCAGAATCAAACTTTTCAGAACTCTGAAAATTAAACAAAAGCTTATAGCAATCCAAGGAGTGTTTACATAAGAAAAACAGCTCAATCTCAATAAAAAATGCAACCTTTGTAGCCTTTTAACTTGCCCTATTCCATCTCCTGTTCACCAAATCCAGGGTAGCTGTCAAAACCAATAGGTTACAATCATGATGGACACCAGAAGCCTGGCAGTCATCACAAGAGGGCAGAAGAGGGTTGAAGCTTGTTCAAAACGTCATTTCCTGAGAAATATCATTACTTGAACTATCTGGTGGGTCCCTGGAAGACGCCATGTTCAAAACTGCCTTTAATGACCTGACTCAGTGTTAGCCCAGTGTGAAAACCTTTTCCCCAGGGGCAGGTATGAAAAATTACAGGCAATTTTTTAACATGTCAGCTACGTGAAGCAATGGATAAATGTTGGGGCAGACAACAGGCTAACCAAAAAATTTAAAGGGAAATGTGATCACCACAAAGGGTTTTAAAAGCTCCAATATATTCCTGGGAATCTAAAAGGCCATGCACATGCATAAAGTTGTGCACGCGCCCAGGGCTTCACGTCTTCTCAGCAGAGACCAGAGAAGGTACTAAACTCTCACCCCTGGCTGACCTTGAAGGGATGCACGAGCAGGAAGTTAAGGTAAAGGCAGAATTATAAAATGCCTACCTAAGTGTTAAAAGCATGGCCCAATACACACAGAAAGCCCTGAGGCAAAGACTAGGAGATTTACTATTTCCAAGTATTTAAGCGAATCTCTGTTCAATCATTAGCTGACAACTAAGCTAACCAAGCAGATACCAGAATGGCCACACTTGAAACAGAACACAGATCTAACAAAATTAGTTCAAAAAAGTCATGATATAACAGAAAAAAAAAACAACCACAAACCCTGGGAAAGGGAGAATCTCATTTCCAGAGCAGCCACATGATTATTTTAAAAATGTCCAATTATTATTTAAAATGTCCAATTTTCAACAAAAATTTATAAGGCATTAAAGAAACAAAGTATAGTACATACAAAGAAAAAGGAACAATCAGTAGTGACCATCCTTGAGGAAGCCCAGGCATTGCTTAGCACACAAGATTTTTAAATATGTGCAAAAAACTAAATGAAACCATGTTTAAACAACTAAAGTATGAGAATGATGTCTCATCAAATAGAGACTATCAATAAACATATAGAACTTCTTAAAAAATAATCAAAAAGGAATTAGAAAGTTGAAAAATATAATAACTAAAATGAAAAACTATCTAGAGGCACTCAACAACAGATCTGAGTGGGTAGAAGGCATCAGTGAACCTGAAGACAGGTCTTGAAACTAGTCTGAAGAGAAAGAAAAATGAATGAAGAAAATTGACCAGATCTCAGATATCTGTGGCACAATAGGAGTCTCAAAAGGAGAGGAAAGGAGCAAAAAGAATATTTGAAAAAAATAATGACCAAAACCTCCTTAAACTTGATGAAAAAACAATCTGCACATTCAAGAAACTCAACAAACCCTAAGGGAGAAAAACTTAAAGAGATCTACACTTAGATAAATCAAAACTATTGAAAAACAAAGACAAATTTTCAAAGCACCATGAGAAGATATGCCTCATCGAAGATTCCTAATAAAAGACTACCAGCTGACCCTATGACCCAGCAACTGCACTATGCACCCCAATGTTCATAGCAGCAATGTCTGCAATAGCCAAACTGTGGAAAGAGCCGAGATACCCTTCAAGAGATAAATGGATAAAGAAGATGTGGTCCATATATACATCAGAAAGGATGAATACTCAACTTTTACATCAACATGGATGGAACTGGAGGAGATTATGCTAAGTGAAATAAGTCAAGCAGAGAAAGTCAATTATCATATGGTTTCACTTATTTGTGGAACATAGGAATAGCATGGAGGACATTAGGAGAAGGAAGGGAAAAATGAAGGAGGGGAAATCGGAGGGAGAGACAAACCATTAGAGACTATGGACTCTGAGAAACAAACTGAGGGTTTTGGCGGGGCGGGGGGGCGCTTAGCCGGGTGATGGGTATTAAGGAGGGCACGTACTGCATGGAGCACTGGGTGTTATACGAAAACAATGAATCATGGATCACTACATCAAAAACTAATGATGTATTGTATGGTGACTAACCTAATAAAATGAAATTTAAAAAAAAAACACAAAAACAAACAAAATAAAAGATTACCAGCTGATTTCTCATTAGGAGCCATGGCAGAAGGATAACATACTCAAAGTACTGAGAGGGAAAAAAAACTATCAATCAAAAATTATACACCCAGAAAAGCTACCCTTCAAAAATAAAGGAGAAATTAGGATAGTCCCAGATAAACAAAAATTAAGAGACTTCATAGCTAGCAGATGGGCCCTATACAAGGAAAGATAAAGGGACTTTTTCTAGCTGAAAAGAAAGGAAACTAGACAAGTTTCAATTAAATATATAATAAACAGCACTAGTAAAGATAACTATGTGGCTATAAAAGATAATATAAACTCATTTTTTTTAAAGATTTTATTTATTTGACAGAGAGAGACAATGAGAGAGGGAACACAAGCAAGAGGATGGGAGAGGGAGAAGCAGGCTTCCTGCCGAGCAGGGAGACCGATGCGGGGCTCGATCCCAGGACCCTGGGATTGTGACGTGAGCCGAAGGCAGCCACTTAACCGACTGAGCCACTCATGTGCCCCTAAACTCACTTTTTTGTCTGTAACTTTTTTCCCTCCTATTTCAAAGACACCAGCAAAAAACAATAATGACTAATCTGTATTGATGGGTCTACTATTATAAAGATGTAATTTATATGATTTTAATAGTACAAAAGAAGGAGAAAGGAATAGAGCTACATAGGAGCAAAGTCATTTGTATGTTATCAAAATTAAGCTGTTATTAATCCAAACAAGATTGCTAAAATGTTAACTGTAATTGCCAGGGCAACAATTAAGGAAATAATTCAAGAAATATGTAATAAAAGAATTGCCAATGGTACACCAGAAAACATCTACTTATACAAAATAAGGCAGTAATAGAATAGAGGGACTAAACCATCATAAAAAATACATAAAACAAATAGCAAAATAACATTCATAAATCCTATCTTAGCAATTATATTAAGTATAAATGAGTCCGAAGGTGAGTAACTGGAAGAATGAATTAAAAAAAAAATCCAACTACATGCTATTTACAATAGACACACTATAGACTCAAAGATACAAATAGGTCAAAAGTAAAAGGAGAAAGCTGAAGTGTCTATACTAACATCAAATAAAATAGACTTTAAGACAAAAATTATTGCTAGATGCAAAAGACATTTTATAATGACAAAAGAGCCAATTCATCAGAAAGATATAACAATTTTAAATGTAAATGCATATAAAAACAGAGTCCCAAAATACATAAACCAAAAACTGAAAGAACTGAAGAAAGAAAAAAAACAATTCAACAATAGTACTGAGATATTTCAACACCCTACTTTCAATAATGAACAGAACACGAAAAAGGATCAACAAGAAAAAGAGGACTTGAAAACTATTAAAAACCAACTACACCTGGGGCGCCTGGGTGGCTCAGTTGGTTAAGCGACTGCCTTCGGCTCAGGTCATGATCCTGGAGTCCCGGGATCAAGCCCCACATCGGGCTCCCTGCTCAGCGGGGAGTCTGCTTCTCCCTCTGACCCTCTTCCCTCTTGTGCTCTCTATCTCTCATTCTCTCTCTCTCTCAAATAAATAAATAAAATCTTTAAAAAAAAAAACAAACAACAACTACACCTAAGAGACATCTATAGAATACTCCATCCAACAACAGTAGGATACATATTTTCTTAAATACCCATGGAACATTCTCCAGATTAAAAAATGTTAAACTCTAAGACAAGTCTCAATGTAAGGGGAGTGAAATCATACAAACTATATTCTCTGATGATCTTACAATGAAATCAGAAATCAGTAGCAGAATTTTATATATTATAAAAATACTTCCAATAACAGAAATTTCCAAAATGCATAAATACATGGAAATTCAAAAACACACTCCTAAATAAAAATGGGTTCTAAGAAGAAATCACATAGGAAACTAGAAAATACACTGAGGTACATAAAAACCAAAACACAACATGCCAAAATATGGGAACCATTGAAACAGTGTTCAACGGGTCTTTATAGCTGTAAACCCATGGTAAAACAGAAGAAAGATCTCAAATCTAACCATTCACCTTAAGAAACTAAAAAAAAATTTTTTAATTTAAAAGAAGAGCAAACTAAACCCAAAGCATACAGAAGTGATAAGCATAAGAGAAATGAAACAGGAACAGTAAACAAATAGAGAAAAATCAACCAAAACTTGGTCCTTTTAAAAGATCAACAAAATTAACAAATTCTTTTTTTTTTTTTAAGTTTTTTTATTTGAGAGAGAGAGAATGAGATAGAGAGAGGGCACGAGAGGGAAGAGGGTCAGAGGGAGAAGCAGTCTCCCCGCTGAGCAGGGAGCCTGATGCAGGACTCGATCCCAGGACTCCAGGATCATGACCTGAGCCGAAGGCAGTCACTTAACCAACTGAGCCACCCAGGCGCCCAAAATTAACAAATTCTTATCTAAACTGACACAAAAGGTGGGTGAGATTGCTATGGTCTGAATGTGGGCCCCTCAAAGTCCTATATTGAAATCCTAACCCCAAAAGGTAATGGTATTAGGAGGTGGGGCCTTTGTGGTTGATTAGATCATGAGAGTAGAGCCCTCATGAATGGGATTAGTGATCTAATAAAAGAGATCCCACAGAGTTCCCTATCCCATTCCACCATATGAGGACCAAGCAAGAAGGTATGAGTTATAAACCAGGAAGAGCTCTAAGCAGAGTACAACCATGCTGGCACCTTGATCTTGGACTTCCCAACCTCCAGAACTCTGAGAAATAAATTTCTGTTGTTTGTAAGTTACCCAGACTGAGGTATTTTGTTATAGCAGCCCAAAGATAGGAGTAGACCTCAAATTCAGGAACAGAAGTGGGAACATTATTATCAACCTGTCAGAAATAAAAACTGTTATAAGGAAATACTATAAACAATTTTTTTTTGCCAACAAATTAGATGACCTAGATGAAATAGAAAAATTCCTAGAATGATAAAAACTACCAAACCTGGCTAAAGAAGAAACCGAAAATCTACAGAGACTTATAATAACTAAAGTGTTTGGATTAGTAACCAAAATTCCCCACAAATAATAACCTAGAACCAGACGGCCTCACTAGTGAATTCTAGCAAACATTTAAAAAAGAATTAACCCAATCCTTCCCAAACTTTTCCAACTCATTCTATGAACCATTATTATCCTAATAGCAATACTAGACAAAGACATCAGGAGAAAAAAAAAAAACAAAACCTTACAGCAATATCCCTTATGAATACAGACACAAAAAATCCTCAACAAAATACTAGTAACCCACATTTAGCAACATACCAATAAATATTATACATCCATTCACAAACAGAATCCAGCAAGATAATAGAGAATCAGTTTTTAAGTTCCGGATCTTCACCTCCCATTGATTCTTCGAAACCATGCTATATCCCTACCACTCCATTAAAATGTGTTGGAAAAAGTTAATAATAACCTAATAGCAGTATCTGTTAACTCTACAAAACTTTAATGAAGTTATTCTCTTCCTAAAATTCTCTACCTTCATTTCAAGAAAAACCTCTAATTTAGATTTCCTTATCTGCTAGCCACAAAAAAAAAAAAAAGAACAGGAAAGTCTTGAGTTCTAGTCCTAACCCTGGCAGGTATTCATTAGATAATGTTAGCTATTAATTACTGAATATAATTATACATAAGGACCACACTAAGCACTTTATAAATGTTACTTCATTTATTCTTCCAAACAACTCTAAGACAGTTATCTATCTATAAAATGGGAATAAATATCAAAGAAGCAGAAAAGTTAAAAGAGATGCCAAAGCCATATTCAATATCTGAATATAGCAGGTCTCTTTAACTTCAAACTGTGGCTCTTTATTTTGTCTCATTGCAGCATGAAGCAAATCATTTACCTCTCTGACATTTGGTTTCTTTTTTTTCCCCCTGACATTTGGTTTCTTCATCTACAGGAAGTTACATATGTAATCTCTGAAGTCCTGTATACCTTATTATAATATAATGAAATTAAGTGCTTTATTAAAAATTTTCTCAAATTAGAAACAGAATACTAAGACACGTAAAGCAGTAAGAGAAACACCTGAACTACCACTGTTTTTCTTTTTTTTTTTTTAAAGATTTTATTTATTTATTTGACAGAGAGAGAGAGACAGCGAGAGCAGGAACACAAGCCGGAGGAGTGGGAGAAGGAGAAGCAGGCTTCCCGCTGAGCAGGGAGCCCGATGCGGGGCTCGATCCCAGGACTCTGGGATCATGACCTGAGCCGAGGCAGACGCTTAATGACTGAGCTACCCAGGCGCCCCTACCACTGTTTTTCTGTTTGGACAGTTTGCCTAGAATTTATAAAGAGTAACAGTTCCACATGCAGGCATACCTCAGAGAGAGCGTGGATTCAGTTCCAGACCACTACAATAAAGCAAATCTCAAAATAACATAAGGCAAATAATTTTTTTGGTTTCCCAGTGAAGGTAACAGTTACGTCTACACTACACTGTAGTCTCTTAAGTGTGCAACAGCATTATGTCTAAAATACAATGTACAGGGGCACCTGGGTGGCTCAGTCGTTAAACGTCTGCCTTCAGCTCAGGTCATTCTCCCAGGGACCTGGGATCGAGCCCCGTATCGGGCTCCCTGCCCCGTGGGAAGCCTGCTTCTCCAGCTCCCACTACCCCTGCTTGTGTTCCCTCTCTCACTGTGTCTCTCTCTGTCAAATAAATAAAATCTTTTTTAAAAATTAATAATTAATTAAATACAATGTACATACCTTAATTTAAAAGCACTGTATTGCTAAAAAATGCTAACCATCATCTGAGGTTTCAGCTAGCTGTAATCACAAATCACAGATCACCGTAACAAATATAATAATAATATAAAAGTTTGAAATATTGCAAGAATTCCCAAAATATGAAACAGACAGACACAAAGTGATCAAAGGCTGTTGGAAAAATGGTGCCAAAAGACTTACTCAACACAAACCATGTGTAAAAAAACACAGTATCTGTGCAGTGCAATAAAACAAGGTCTGTTTGTACTTATTAAAAAATCTAGCAGCCTCTGGAAAAGTATAATGTTCTGCCCATGACAGAAATAGCAATTATACGGAAAGCGATGCATGGTGTAAGCTAAATTAAAGGTCGTAATATGCAAACATCCTAAAAGTCAGTCACATAATAAAAATGTTAACTTAATCTAATTATACTAATAAAAATATGTACCGTTCATTATGCTCTTGATAAACGAGTCTGGACTTCTCCAGTAGATATTTTTCAACATAGGCACTAGAAGAAAAATAAAATTGGTTGATATAAATAATAAAGCTTAAGGTAGATAAGTATTTTTTCAGAGAAGATGCAAAAGTATAAAGAATTCTATCCAGATCATTTTAGTACACTTACCATTACAATTGTGTTATAAATGCTGTTAGTGTTATCTGTGTTAAATTCATAAACTCATAAGTTTTTTTTTTTGGCTTTCAATAAAGCAAAATAAAGTCAGAAGTTCAAAACATGGCACACAAGACCCACCCATGGCATAGGCTTTACTTTCTTTCCAGGCTCATATGCCACTACACATTCTTTCAGATACTATACTTTGGCCAGGTGACTAAATAAGACTCAAAGACATACTTTCTTAACATATTCATGCTACTGCCACATTCTGGAATCCATTGATTATTTACTAATTTATTCAACAACTTCATTAATTGGGCACTGTGCTAAGCACTGTTCAAACACGGAAGTAAGTGATAACACTATCTATTCTCAAGGGGCTTACAGACTAGTGGAGGGAAATGTAAACAAGGGGCTATCATACTGAGTTGATACAGGATTTATTACAGAGCAATGACCAGAATATTATGGCTATACCAAGAGATACAGGTAAGATTCCATCCAAGAAGGAAACAATTATATAGGGAACAATTCCCAGAGAGGTAAGTACACAGCACATAGTAAACATTCACAAAATCTATTTGGTGACTGACTGAATAAATGACTCTGAAATCTGAAAGACTGACCAGAAGGCCAGGAGAACTGCTTTATGCAAAAGCATAAAAGGAGGGTACTTAACCTCAGGGGAAGATAATTCCTCAACATGACTAGAGAATGAGATAGACAAGTGGACTAGATAAAGAAGGACCAATATACTATGTGCCAGAAGAGTGGAATTTATCCTGAAAGTAATGAGGAACTAAAACATAAATTGTATTTCTGATATGTCATTCTCTTTATTCAGCCTGTACCTCTTCAAGTCTTCAATACCTGTCACCCAAACTGAAGCAATCAGGTAAGCTCCCTCTGGAAAAGGGGATCCTACGGTCTGAAATTTAAAAGTTTTCGACTCTTGAATCCAAATTACATAGCACAAACCTCTGTGGAATCAAAAATCTGACTTCTGAGTTTTATTCCCATCAGTTCCCTCCTATCGCATGCTCAGTATTTCAGTCACTCCCAAATACAGGTCATTTCCTCAAACATGCCATTCACTCTGGCTGCATTGTCCATGCTCTTCCCTCCACTTCTAATTCTACAGTCTCTACCCACTCTCTTTCCAACAGGCTCCATTCATTCATAAAATGAACCTCAAATGTGCCTTTTCTGCAAACACCTCACTACTACCACTACCAGTAATTAAACTGTATCACTTCCTCTGAGTTACCATCATCACCTCTAAACTACTGAAACAGGTTCTTATCTATCTAAAATGAGAGAAAGGGAACATAAACTAATATGTTAAATTCTTTTGAGTATAGTTGACACACGTTACATTAGTTTCAGGTGTTCAGGTATGTAACATAGTGATTCAATAAGTTTACACATTATACTATGCTCACCACAAATGTAGCTACCATCCTTCACCATACCCTTGTAAAATATCATTGACTATATTCCTTACGTGGTGCCTTTTATTCCCATGACTTATTCCACAACTGGAAGCCTGTATATCACACTCCCCTTCACTCATTTTGCCCATTCCACCACCTTCCTTCCCTCTGGCAACCATCAATTTGTTCTCTTTATTTATAGGTCTAATTCTGCTTTTTGTTTATTCATTCATGTTTTAGATTCCACATAGTACATTAAATTCTTAAACCCACCCTGCATAGCAAATATTACTGCCTATTTCACAAGTGGAGAAACTGGTGCTCAAAGATATTAAAATCATGCAGCCAGTAAACAGCAGAACCACGATTTGAAGCCAGGTCTATATTAACTACAAAGGCTCCCTCTTTCAACTATACTAACATACTCCTAAACATCTCACCTTCCTCCTCTCCACTCCATGAGTTATACTGCTATGAGAGTTAGTTACCCATAAAATAAGATCTACTCATGTTATTCCTCTACTTTCACTTGCTACTCATACTAAAGTACACAAGGGTTACATCTACCTGGGATCGTTTTATTTCAATGCATCAGCATACAAAAAGAAAAAATAAACAAAGCAAATATGGCAAAATGTGATAATTCTTGAATCTAAATGGGCATTCTTTCTACCACTCTCTTTACTTCTGGGTATGTTTCACACTTTTTATAATAAAATCTTTAAGATCTGCTTCCCAGTCAAGAGGATAAATTAGATACATTAGAGCTTTATTCATAATCTAAAATCAACTGAACACTATGTCCATAATCTGAAGCCATTGAACTTACCTCCTCAAGTACACCAAGTTCTTATGATTCCATTCATCTGTTAATGCCAATTCCTCAAATGATAATGTGATTTCCCACTTTTTCTGCTTAGCAATTTTTCAAGACCCAAAATAAAAATCACCTTTTTTTGTGACCTTCTCCAGACACATGCTTCAATCACTGTACTTATCTCAGTTACTGTAATCCTCTTAAGTAAACCTATCTCTCCCAAAAGACTATGAGAACTTTAATGGCAGAGAACATGTATACTTTTTTTGTCATGAACACTTAGCACAGTGCCTGGTACTCCATAAATGGTTGCCTAATGAATGATAAAATGAAAGATGAAAATGTTTTATATTTACCAAGAGTTAAATATTTTCAATATGAAAAATTTTCAATATGTATGTGTTGACTTACTAATCAAGATGAAGATTTCTGCTCATCACTGTTGTAAGAGAACATTTAACCTTTTCAGATAATCGCTTAACATATGAGTCAGAATTTCATTCATAAAATGGGAAAATAAATATCTGCCATTCCTAACTCATGAAACTGTCTTAAGAATCAATGAATATATATAATGATACTTTGTAAGTTACAAAGCAACATATACAACTTTACCTATTATCAACATCTCTTGTATCACAATTACAAATACTAGAAAAGTGCAACTTGACAACCTGACTGCATCCCATTTTTTTAGTAAAAGTACCAACTATACTTTTGGAAACATGGTTTTCAAATCAGAAAGGAAATGAGTTATGAAACTTGCCACTGAAGGACTTATCCTTCTTGTTTTGTTTTTCTTGGGGGAGGTAGAATACACATAGTTTTGGTCAAAATTTTTAAATTAAAAGCAGAAATGAAAAGCATAATTAACATAGCATAAAAAGAAAAATACTAACCAATCTCACTTATTAATATGGATGCAAAAATCATAAATAAAAACTAGGAAACAGGGGCGCCTGGGTGGCTCAGTCGTTAAGCGTCTGCCTTCGGCTCAGGTCATGATCCCAGGGACCTGGGATCAAGCCCCACATCGGGCTCCCCGCTCCGGAGGAAGCCTGCTTCTCCCTCTCCCACTCCCCCTGCTTGTGTTCCCTCTCTCGCTGTGTCTCTCTCTGTCAAATAAATAAATAAAATCTTTAAAAAAAATAAAATAAAAACATAAAAACTAGGAAACAATAGAACAACCAACTTATATGTGCGTGTATAAATACGTGTACATATGTATGCATGTGTGTGAGTCTATCTTTGTATGACCAAGTGGGATTGTTTTCCCAGGAACACAAAATGATTCAGTATTAGGAAAATAACGGTAACATTGACAGATCTCAGAATGAAGATCATGCTAATCTTCACAGATGCCCAAAATGCATTTGGTAAAATGCAATATCATTTTTTTACTCAAAAAACCACTAATAGAAAATTTAAATTGATGCCTAATTCATTAATGTGGTAAAATGTCCTAAAATCAGTATTTTACTTAGTGGAGAAAAGTAAAGTCATTCACATAAAGGTCTGAAACAATATTATTTGGAATCAGACGAGAGAGAAAATAAAAATATAAGAACAAAAAAACAGGTAAGAATACCTATTTTTGCAGATATACCAAGAAAAGGTAAAAGAAACAATAGTAAAACTAATGCAAACAATAAAATAATTCAGTAAGATAACAAGATACAACTTAATATAAAAATTAATAAACTTCATATATATGAACATATATGTATGAATATATATCATATATACAAACAACTAGAAGATATAATGCAAGAGAAAATCACACTTTTAATAACAACAAAACATTAAAATAAGATACTCAGGAAAACAATAAGAAATACAAAAAAATTTAAAGCATTTCTAAATAGCACAAACATGTCAATTATCCCCAAATTAATATACACATTTAACATTAGTCCAATAAAATCAAGCCATGAAAGGCATGGAGGAAACTTTAATATAGAGTGCTAAGGCGAAGAATCCAAACTGTAAAGACTACAAGGTTCCAACCATAGGACATACTGGAAAAGGCAAAATTAGGGGTACTATAAAAAGATAAGTGGTTGCCAAGAGTTACTGAGTAAGAAGGGATGAACAGGCAAACCACAGAGGATGTTAGAGCAGTAAAACTATTCCACATGATACTGTAATGGTGAATAAATGTCTTTATACAATTGTCAAAGCCCAAAGAACACACCACACAAATGGAACACAACAATACAAGATGATATTAATAGGGGAAACTGGTCGATAGGGTGAAGAGGTATATGGGAACTCTTTGTACTTTCTACTCATTTCTGTTGTGACCCTAAAACTGCTCTAAAAATAAAGTCTATTAGATGTTTTAAAGTTAGGAGGAATATTGCTGGAACAACCAGAAGTACTCTACTTACAGACTGTATAAGAAATGTTATTGTAACAAAATTAAATTTCTTGAATATACCAGCATTATGTAGGAAAATACAGCTGTGATTCCTGTGGGGAGTCAAATTATATGCCCAACTTACTCAAAAACAAATTTAAAAAAATGAATGTATGCATAATACAGAGAAATAAAACAAATGCAGCGAATTGTTAACAGCAAATCTAAGTTACAGATATATGCCTTACACTATTCTTTGAACATTTCTCAGGCTTCAACTTTAAAAAAAAAAAAAGTTTAGAGGAAAATAATTGAATGCAGACACCAAAGTCACTATTCTCATTAAAGAGCAAATGAACAGTCTATGGATTATGAAGAGACAATGGTGAAAATATAAACATACTCCAAAGCCTGCTACTGCTACTTACCCAAGTACAGTGCCAGTTTCTTGGTAATTTACTTGAATAAATTTGCCAAAACGACTTGAATTGTTATTATGAGCTGTCTTTGCATTTCCAAAGGCCTGTCAAAATAAACAGTTCTTATTAATTTCATTTTAAAAAATGGAAAATCTTGCTTAGGTTGGCTCAAAGAGACAAAATGCAATTCTCTTTAACTTCAGACTCATATGGTTCAGGTAAAGTAAAAGAGAGCAGGGCGCCTGGGTGGCTCAGTCGTTAAGCGTCTGCCTTTGGCTCAGGTCATGATCCCAAGGTCCTGGGATCGAGTCCCACACCAGGCTCTCTGATCAGCAAGGAGCCTGCTTCTCCGTCCCCCTCTTCCTCTGCCTATCGCTCACCCTGCTTGTGCTCTCTCTCTCTAATAAATAAATAAAATCTTTAAAAAAAAAAGAGAGAGCAATTAATAGTTGAAATAAAACCAAGTAGAAAGTACTTCATGCTTTTCAGTAAAATAAATCTTAATTTTAATTTTTTTAATTTTTTTTTAAAGATTTTTTATTTGTTTATTTGAGAGACAGAGAGTGAGAGACAGAGAGAGCACATGAGGGGGGCAGGGTCAGAGGGAGAAGCAGACTCCCTGCTGAGCAGGGAGCCCCATGCGGGACTCGATCCTGGGACTCCAGGATCATGACCTGAGCCGAAGGCAGTCGCTTAACCAACTGAGCCACCCAGGCGCCCAATCTTAATTTTAAAAACTTACAACTCCTTAAAATAATTTAACTTTTACATTCGAGAGCCAGCAAGCTTCCTTAATATATTTCTATATTTTTTTAAATCTTGCTAACTTAAATAGGAGCTAGAAACAGAATAATTACATCAAAATAATTGCAATTTTAGAATAGTATAAATGAAATAAAATTTCACTACGTAATGTATTACACTTTATCACATCAACCTAAAACAAAGCTACAGTACTATTTTAAAAAGAATTAAAAATATATGTTGCCTAAATTGTTACCAAAGTATACACAATGCAATAAATACTACCCAGCAATAAAGAAAAACTGGTACATACATTAACACTGATAAATATGAAAACATTATGACGTGGAAAAAACCAGACTCAAGAGTACATACTGTACTATGAAATTTTAGAAAAGGCGAAACAACAATAACAGGAAGAAGATCAGAGTTGTCTGTGAATTAGGAAATGTGTAAAAGGGGCACAAGGAGTAATAAGAATATTCTATAGCTTCATTGTATGATGGTGGCTATATAAGTGTATATACATTCATCAAAAATCATTGAACTATGAACTATAAATTTTAAATGGCTATACTGTACTGTAAGTTATATATCCCGATAACATTTCTTAAAATTGAAATTTAAAAGAATAATCCCTGGTTGAACTTACATATTCAACAACTTGAATGAATTTCCAATACATAATGCTAAATGAGAGAAGCTAGTCTCAAAACTTTACTTACTGTATGATTCCATTTCCGTGACATTTTGAAAAAAACAGCAATAGAAATCAGACAAGTAGTTCCCATGAATTAGTACGGGAGGGAAGTAAGAGAATATGAAGATAAAGAATAGTGTGAAGGAGTTTCAAGAAGTAGTGGAACTTTTCTGTATTGATTGTATAGAGATGGTTACCCAAATTAATGTTTTAAAATTCATAAATTTTACTGAAATTTTAATTCTATTTAAATTTAATTTTTTATAATTTAAATATCTCCTAAAAAAAGTAAATTAAAAAATTAAGACCCAAAAGAAGACAATTTCTGATATGCAAATCTGAAAATTTTCATCATAAGCCAGCCCACACTAAAAGGAACATTAAAGGAAGTCCTTCATGCAGAAGGAAAATATCATACTCAAATACGGATCAAGTACAGAATAGAGAACAGCAAAAATGGTAACTACAAATGTAAATATATAAAGTATTTATTACTTAAATCTCTTGAAAAGATCATTGAAACCGAGGTCAGAGAAAATGATAAAGATCTCTGAAAATCCCCTCTTCTTCATAAAAGAAATAAAATTTTAAAAAGTATCCAAATCAACTTTTTGACAATTCTAGAAATTAACTAAAAGCTTATAATAATCCTTTGTGGGGGAACACTTAATCAAGGAAAACAGCCAAATCGCAGTAAGAAAAACAGGCTTTGTGGCATTTTAACTTACCCAATTACCATCTCCCTCTCCCTAGCTCCATGCTGAAGAGAAATGCAACACTCTATAATTAGTCTGTTTAAAAGGCAGCCTAGAAGCCACTGAAGGATCAAAACAGGATTACAGCCAAAGCCCCATCCCACAGGTAACTGTCAGAATTTGAGCTATATGGCAATTCCCTGGAAAACCTCACTCAAAGGATTATCTTTACCTGACCAGACTTGGAGCTCACTCACAGGAGACAGCCTTTTCACCTATGTATGTTTGTTAAAAACAATCAGAGGCAATTGTTTAAACACTCCAACTGCCTGAGTTAGCAAGAGGAGAATGAGGCAAAAAATGAAGTAACCAAACAACTTAAAAGGAAAACACAGAAATGACTTGTACAAAAGGGGCATTTAAAGATCTGAAATAGGGGCACTTGGGTGGCTCAGTCAGTTAAGCATATGCCTTCGGCTCAGGTCATGATCCCAGGGTCCTGGGATCCAGCCCCAAGTCAGGCTCCCTGCTCAGCAAGGAATCTGCTTCTCCCTCTGGCTTGTGCTCTCTCTCTCAAGTAAATAAATAAAATCTTAAAAAAAAAAAAATAAAGATCTGAAATCTTTTACATTCCAGGGAATGTAAAAGGTGTTTTACCTGTGCAGGACTGTGCACATGCCCAGAAATATACACATGCTCAGTAAAGAGCGGAGATCTCTGGTTGATATTTAAGTTCTATGTAAATAGGAAGTAAAAGGTAAGGCAGATTTGACAACTGCCTGGTTAAATGTTGACAAGTATCCAAGAAGCACATAGAACTTCACAGAAAAAAACTGGGAGCCTTATTGCTTCAGGACATTTAAAAAAAATCCTTGTCCAATTATTATCTGACCACTAAGCTAAATGAAGAAAGAATGCAAAGGCCTCACAGGAAAAAGAACAGACTTCACACATTTATTCCAAAGAAGTCATGGAACAACCAAAGAGCAATAACAAAACCATCTCCACAAACCCTGGGAGGAGGGAAAAATCTCATTTCCAGAACTATCACACTGTATTAATAAAATGGCCCACTTTTCACCAAAACATTGTAAGACATGCAAAGAGAAAAGAAAGTATGGACCAGGAAAGTTTTATAAAAGCAATAAACAGAGGGGCGCCTGGGTGGCTCAGATGGTTGAGCGTCTGCCTTCAGCTCGGGTCATGATCCCAGGGTCCTGGGATCAAGTCCCGCATCGGGCTCCCTGCTCCTTGGGAGCCTGCTTCTCCCTCTGCTTCTCTCTCTCTCTCCCTCTGTCTCTCATGAATAAATAAAAAAAAAAAAAAGCAATAAACAGAAACTGTCCCTGACAAAGCCCAGATGTTGGGACCTCCAAAGCCAAAACTTTGTATCAGCTATTTTAAATATTTTCAAACTAAAGGAAAGTATGAAAAAGATGCCTTAACTATAGAGAATATCAGTAAAGGGCTAGAAATTATAAAAATTCCATTATTGAAAAGTAGATTAACTAAAATGAAAAATTCATTGGAGGGGCTCCAGTAGAGACATAAACAAGTAGATACAGTGGAAAACACACAATGAATATTTCAACAATGAAAGGCCCAATACTTCCCAAATTTCATGAAAAACACTAATCTACATATCCAACAACCTTCACAAACTCCAAGCATGAAAAACTAAAAAAGATCTGCACCTAGACAAATAATGATCAAATTGCTGAAAGACAAAGAATAGTTCTCATATGGTCCTAGGGTCCTGGGATAGAGCCCCACATCGGGATCCCTCCTCAACAGAGAGTCTACGTTGCCCTCTCCATCTGCCTCTCCCCCCACTTGTGCTCTCTCTCTCTCTCAAATAAATAAAATTGTAAAAAAAGAATACTTATAAGCAGTGAAAGAGATGCAACACATACCATACAAAGGTTCCTCAATAAGCATAACACAAAATTTCTCCAAATAAAACATTAAAAATTAAAGACAGTGGAGTTATATATTCAAATCACTGAGAAAAGCCTGTCAATCAAGAATTCTGTGTCCAGTAAAACTGTCTTTCAAAATTAAAGGAGAAATTAAAACATTTAAATAAACAAAAATTGAAAGAATATATTCAGCAGATGGGCCTTACAAAAAATACTAAATGAAGTAATTCAAGCTGAAATGAAAAGACACTTGATAATAAAGCAAATCTTTATGAAGAAATAAAGATCACAAGTAAAGGTAAATGTAATGTAAATACAAAACAGAGTTTGTAACTTTTTTTGTATTTACATTACATTTTGTATTGTACAATACATTTTGTATTGTACAATATTTTGTTTGTAACTTTTTTCCTCCTACCTGACCTGAAAGACAATTCCATAAAACAATAAATATAAATCTGTGTGTATGGATATACAACGTAGAAAAATATCTATATGAAAATAAAAGCACAAAGGAGGGAGAAAGGAACAGAGCTATACAGAAGAAAATTTTTGCATATTATTGAAATTAAGTTGGTAGTAATCCAAACTCAATTGTTATGTTAATTGGAATGCTCAGAAATACCACTAAAAAAATAACCAAAAAACCCAAAAAGAGACACAACAACAAAATTAAAATGGTATGCTAGAAAACATCTCTTTAACATAACAGAAAGTAGTAATGGAAGAATAGAAGACATAAAAAAGCATATTAAAAAAAAAAATGGCAGGTGAGCCTGCGCGGCCCAGTTGGTTGACCATCTGACTCTTGATTTCGGCTCAGGTCATAACCTCAGGGTTGTGAGATCAAGCCCCACATCAGGCTACATGCTGGGGGGAAGGGTGCACAAGATTCCCTCTCTCCCTCCCCTTCTGCCCCTTCCCCACCTCATGCACTCACTCTCTCTCAGAAGAGGAAAAAAAAAAAAGTAGTAAAATAAAAAAATGGCAGACATAAATCCTATATTATGAGTAATTACATTAACTGTAAATGGATCAAACATTCC